ATGAATGCTTGGAAGCTTGGAAAAGACGTGGAAGTATGTGATAGTCGATTTACTGTATTGTCTGCTTGCCCTTTCTTAAGGAAAGGGCAATCCTATTTATGCCAAAGGAGTGTAGTTCTCTCATTTTCCATGACTTTCCATGACTAACCAGGCTTGGTAAATGTATTAGAAATCAAGTGCAACCCACAACTAGCTTGCTAATCATGTAGTGAGCGTAAGAGAATCCAATAGAACCATCTCTTGGATTCCTAGCCTATAGGAAGTGAAAAGGAGGTCCAAGGTCAGAGTACCCCTATAGACAAATTATGTCATAACTTAACCAATCTTGTGGGTAACTAAGGAGTGATGATGTGTAATGAATCATAGAGGGTTGTAGAAGCTTCTATAGCTATCGTTCATGTTTCTAGGCCTCTAGTTGGTAGAGATATGCCATGTGGTAGTATTGGCCCACCTCCTTAAGGAGGAGATTTTCTTAATAACTTGTTCAATAAGTGTCCAAATGATATGCCGTCATGTATGTAGCATAAACAGATGTAGTAGAAGAGTTTGCAGCAATCGTTGAGTAGTATTGCTCTTGTTGTTGGTGTGATAAGCCAAGATATGTTTGGTGACTTGTAGGTTTGAGGATCAGATTTCTAAGTTTGCTCTTGAGTTTGATAGCAAACTGAGTGCAACGAATGTCAGTATGACAGAATTCACTTAATATGCCTATTACCATATAATGGCTGAAGCTTATGATATTTCACTAAGCGAACTTTATTTAGGTGGCAGCACCTACTTTTACTTCTCCTTATACCTCTCTAAGGGAGTTTACTAAACTCCCTTCTCTTACTCTATAGTAATCACCATAGTAACTAAGAAACAGCAGAATGGAGGATAACGGCTTAGAGTTCAACCTAGGCACAGACTCTACTGGTTTAAGTTTAAGTTCAAGTTCTCTATAACATCTACACACCCCTAAGTCTTCCCTAATTCACTATAGTCACAATCTACAAGAACACCAACCTTCTCTAGCTTAACTATAGACACTAATTCACTAAAGCTAGAGACTTCAGCTCTAAACCCCTAAGACACAACTAGAGAAGAAGAAGAAGAAGAAAGTCCTAATCCCTTCATTCTTTCCTAGTTAAAAGTTTGGTCTAAAAGAAGCACCTAAGATGCCTTCTGCTTAAAAAGCCCTATATGAAGCACCTACAAACACTACAGCTAAGGCACAACTTAAGCCAAAGTGTCACTAGAAGTCTAGAGGTAAGCTGATTACTATAGACCTTCCTACTAACCTAGAACAGTTGCACTTCGTTAGATCAAGAGATACCAAAAATCAACAGAGCCCCTTATCCTACATGCGCCTTTCATCCGACTTATCCGTGAAATCATAGTTGACCTTAAGGTGGATTTTCGACTCTAATCATCTGTAGTCTCTACGCTATAGGAAGCAGCTAAGATGACACTAGTTAAGGAGTTCGAGAGAAAGTGAACCTACACCTCTATAGTAATCATTATAGTAACCAAACTAGTAACGCAGCTTCTAGCAATTCATGCAAAGCAGGTTACAATCTAGCAGAAGGATATGAAATTAGTCTAGGCTATATGTCTGAACATGACTAGGTTCACATTTCTAGACATGAAGGAATGAGCAAAGTAGATAGATAGTAGAAACTTAACGAAACTATTCTACTAAAGCTACTATATATTAATATTCATAGTAATCGTTGCTTCTATAGTATATTGTTACGACGGAACAATAAGGCTGGCCAACTACAGGACAGGAAGGAGGGAGGTCGCATGAGACCGGCCCTGGTACCTGGAGGGGCAGCGGGGAATAGTAGTTCTGAAAGTATCACGTGACGGACTCGCAGGATGATGAGAAGAGTCCTAAGAGTCCAGAACTCTGAGGACTCGAGTGAGTTCCCAGGAGTCCACTAGGCACGTGACGGACTCGCAGGATGATGAGAAGAATCCTAAGAGTCCAGGACTCCGAGGACTCGAGTGAGTTCCCAGGAGTCCACTAGGCACGACGCCACTATATAAGTAGATAGTTAGTTCTTAGATAGGAGCTTCGTGCTCAACTCAATACAGTATTTGTTATATACTAGTAACGTGTTACTTGAAGCCTTTGTGTCCGATCCCCTGCCTCCTCTGATAAGTAAACCTTTACGCAAGAGAACCTCTGTGTCTTCTATCGTTTAGAAGTCAGCGTTACACTTTGAGCACCACTTCTACGAGGCACTGGCTCATACACAAAGCAACATGTCAACGAACTCAAGGAAACTCTACGCGTCAAGTTGCCCGACACTTACTCCGGCAACCGAAAGGAACTTGAGGTGTTTTTGCTACAGGTCGAACTGTACCAGCATGTTACGACGGAACAAGAAGGCTGGCCAACTACAGGACAGGAAGGAGGGAGGTCGCATGAGACCGGCCCTGGTACCTGGAGGGGCAGCGGGGAATAGTAGTTCCAAAAGTATCACGTGACGGACTCGCAGGATGATGAGAAGAGTCCTAAGAGTCCAGGACTCCGAGGACTCGAGTGAGTTCCCAGGAGTCCACTAGGCACGTGATGGACTCGCAGGATGATGAGAAGAGTCCTAAGAGTCCAGGACTCCAAGGACTCGAGTGAGTTCCCAAGAGTCCAGTAGGCACGACGCCACTATATAAGTAGATAGTATTTCCTTAGATAGGAGCTTCGTGCTCAACTCAATACAGTATTTGTTATATACTAGTAACGTGTTACTTGAAGCCTTTGTGTCTGATCCCCTGCCTCCTCTGATAAGTAAACCTTTACGCAAGAGAACCTCTGTGTCTTCTATCGTTTAGAAGTCAGCGTTACATATATGGTGAAATTGTAGATATTTTCAAGCTACCTATCACATGCCTCATACACGTGATCGTAGTCAGTCTGCTAAGAAACTGTTTGGGGACTACACTAGTCTAGGCAGTTTGGTCTGTATTTCTAAACTAGACTGTAGTCTAGTCTAGAAATATTTTGAACGAACGGTTCCAAACTAACGGTCCCCTATGATGCACACTATTACTTTTAATACTTTTAATATTAGCCAGTCTTATAACCTCACTTCGACATCTCCTTTTCTAAATCTTGTCTTCTACAACTCTCTATCTTCGTTACTACTATACAAGCAATACTGTAACTCTTGATAAGTACTCCATTTACCTGTTCTATCTACACTAGCCAGCTGCATAGAACAGCAGTTGTAGCTACAATATCATTAATATCTTAGATATCTACTATTAGTAACTTAAAGGCATTATTTAGTCTTAAGTTTAAAGATGACCCTTAGCAGTTGTGTCTAGCTATAGAGAAATCTAGAGTAGCAAACAAATGACTAAGCTAGGTAGGAGATGTAGCTACATCACTTAGCATATGGACCTAGTGGTTTCCAACTACTTAATCGCAAGGTGTTTCATCTTAGCACTCTCTAAAGATTATTATATTAACTAAACATAGGCGCTAGCAACAAAAAAAAATGCACCTTAGTAACGCTAATCTTGCTCATTAGGGGAATATCTCAACAAACATTATATATCGTCATTCTACATCTAGAAATTAAATTAGGCGGGTCGGTTTGCTAACTGCCTAACTATAGGTTCTCTAGACACAAACCCTAACCCTAAAAAAAAACTAAAACCTAGTAAGAGCGCGCTTAACCACGTTTCCAACTTATAGCTCTAGTTTAGATTTAAAGGTGAATCCTTACACTTATGGAAAGGTAGCATGTGTATAAGGGTTTATCCTTAAATCCGAACTAGAGCTTAAACTTAATAACAGACTTGCTAAGCCTGCTCCTGTTAAGCAAGCAATAACCTAGTGGAAGAGCTTTTGTAAGCAAAATAGACACGATAATAGGTGCACCTTAGGATGGTTTATGCTAGAGCTCCTATTAGTAATTACATAGCATCTTAGTTAGAGGCTAGATCTATAACCCTTAACATTTGTGCAACTAAGTCAAGCCCACCATTGTAGAATGCAGCTCTAAGTAAGGCTTCTATAGTTGTTGCGTCTATAGCGTCCGAAATGAATTTCGTGCTGGCATTACGCCTTATGTGCTAATCAATTTTGAGAGCAGAAATAGTTAACCTTAGGCTGGGTTTAGGGTTATCAGCCGGGGCGAACCGATGGTTGTTAAAGGGGTTGGTCGAGACGTTCAATCAAAAGTTAATCATAGGGGAATCGTACAGACTTACGGTACAGTCCAGAGCCCAGAACCCGCACGTAGTATAGTAACATGCAATGTGTTCAAAATAAATTAGTTCATTCATTTACCAGAATTCCGAGTGATTGGATGCAAGAAGTGTCAATTTGCAATATTACCCAGTGACTAATTCACAAGAAAACCGGTACTGACCGCCCATCGAAATACGACATAATCTTCGATGCCGACTCCTGCTCAATTAGAGACTGTGCAAACAAGATAAATCTTCAAAGCAAAGCAAGTTTTGGTCGACGTCTTTTCAGCGCTATTTTCCAAACCGGGATCGCGAAGGTGAATCAGTTGTACAGCGTTCAATTGATAAGGTCTGATCTAGAGAAGCTGACCATGTCGGGAGGGCATTATATTGTAAATGTACACTTCGGACTAGATACTAGTTATGCTAATTCATTACCTGGTAAATTTGAATCCATCATCATCTGATTCCTGTGTTGACCGAGGTATCACTTCCGTGATTCTCCATAATGTCAAGACATGGGCCCCAGGAAGGCCAATTTAGCGTACGCGGCATGTTTTCAAGTGTTCGGATAGTTTTTTTAATATGAGGCAACCTTTCGGAATCGCATTTCGAATACGACTCCTCAGGACTCAAGAAATTCGAACCGTTCTCGATGTAAGGAGTCCAATTTGAGAAGCAGTCTGTCCGTCGTACTACAACCATACTCGGCTTCAATCGACGTGTCAATAAAAGGATATGCTCTGGGCCGTTGCCGGTGAACTGTGCCGAGAGAACTGGGTTAGGTATGGATTTTAAATCTCTGATTGAACGCATTATACCATCATGTCGTCCTTGAAGGAAAGCGCTACAGAAGTTTTGGTTAACGTAAGTGCCACCCCACTGTTCGTCGTATACCTCCTGAAACGTCTCAGGTTCGACAAATCCTTCAGAAAATCCGGTCTCCAGCCTAGAACCTCAGCTATGTGGGAAAGATTGAACATCATCGTTGACACATGATAGCTAACTTGAAAACGTTCCGGTTTTCCTTCGCGTATTATAATTTCACTCCCGGAACTTCGCCGCTTCTTGGAGACTTCAGTCTCAATGATCCGATGGAACTCTTCCAGATTGAATTTACTGCAGAATCTTAATGCCCGCTTGCTCGTACAGAATTGTACCCTATCATATGTTTTTCGTTTGCATAGGAAATTATGGGCGTAAGATTCGGCCCACGAGCGTATCCTCATGGGATCGGGATTTCGGCGTTGTGCTAGAAGTCTGTCAAGTAATGCAGCCACTTCCACGAACACATCTTTGCCTTCACGACGCATTCTCAGCTTCCATGATCTTGCAACAGTGGCCATGGCAAATGGCTCACCTAATGCATCGCCAACAAGATTGTGGATATGGCTATTTACATCGGATGCCGACATTCGTTTCCCAGATTCACAGCTCAATACTCGATGGACGAGGGTCGTAATTTCTGGATCTCCTCGCATTAATTCCTTCTCCGCATTCCCGGATCCAAAGTGGTCGGACGTATTGACAGCTACCAATTTATACGTACGACAGAGGTCGGCAACATCCAACCCCAAGGATGCACCCACCTCGGTGCATTCCGAAAACCCAGCGAGACGCACTTTGAATGGGCGATGTGTGACAATGATAGTGCCTTGTCTAATATCGCCATGTTCAATCCCTTCTTGCTGAAGCAAGCATAGCAAGTCAACCATTTGTCGAAATAGACAGAAAGAGGGGAATAAACCGTGCAAGCCGCTCAACATCCGCATGGACCGGAGACGACGTTCCGCGCGTACATAGGGCAGTTGGTGAGTTTCGTGATGCGGGTGGAGGAGGAGTTGGGGGAGGGGGAGCGGCCCGAGTTACAAGATGGAGGTGGGCGTACAACGACATGGTACGATCGACAAGGAGGTAGCAGAGGTCGGAGCGACGAGCAGGAGAAGTAGTTCGTGGTTCGTAGTTGGATTTTGTTCCTCGCCATCGCTTACGACTTCTGACAGTGTCCGGATTGTTTTGTCAACCGCTTTTGGGGGCTTACCTCATTGGGGGTTTTCAAAGTCATGTGCAATCTGGCTTGTGAGTCTTGGGAAAAAGCAGGCATTCATTCAATTGGAGAAACAGACGCGCCTCCGACGGATGATGACGCAGGAGCTGACAGCGGGGATGACTCGGAGTCCGTGTCATCATCCGAGTGATGACCCATATCCCCCCTGCACTGTATTGCGGTCGACAAACAGGCAAACCGCTGGCTTCTGTTCGGGGTCGTCAGCATCGAGGCAGTTCGGGTCGACCGCCAGGGCGTATGAGATACTGCTGATGTGGTCGACTTCGTACTGCTGCGTCAGCCTGTCAGAGTACAGCCCATCGGGGTATCAGTCGAGTCATCGGGACCCTGTCGCCAATCGATCCCCCAGAATCCACCGTGGGTCGTGGTGTCAGCTCCCCTACCGAGTCCTTCCTCATCCGTGGCGCGGCTGACACCGTCACGGCGCAACCTGCGGACGATCCTGCGACCGATCTTCCAACTAATGCGGTTCTATCTGCAAGAAACATCGCACTACATGCACCTGCTGCGGTGCTTCCGGCCAACGGTGTTTCCGCAGATCTTGGGGTCGTTCGCGCGGGTATTCGAGCTGGCGCTAGACGAGATGCTCCATCGATTCCAGGCGCAGGGGTCTCAGGGGTTAGGCGTGCGCACTGTCGGAGGGCGTTGCGGCTCTCGATTCAGACTGCCCGGACGGTGGCATTAGGCATATGCTACCTTTTACTTTTCTTAGCCTACAAAAGCCGTCTATTGCATCTCTCATCAGATCATTCACATTGCGTGGGCTGTTTCATATAGAACGTTATCCTCCTAACAACAGCGACGAAGACAAGAGACGGCTGCCATAGCCCAACCATGTAGAGCCCGATGATATTCTTATGGGACTAATTAAGAGAAATTCTCATTCAGAAGACGAGGAGGTAGAGTGGAACGAAGCCGTTCTATCTCAAAATGCACCTACCGATGACGCTATATTGTCTCTTCTTCTAATATCATTCCCAAATTTGTTCGACTCGACTTGGAATTACCGCCTTAGAGGTCAACTTCCTTGCGCGCACCTTCGACAGGGTTGCCTGCTCCGAGCCACCCTTCGACGTTAATCCAGTATTTGCTCAGCTCACCGACATTATGCTTACCGGGAGCGATGATACATATCCGACGGAATACGTCCTTTTTGGTGCATGCTGTAGACTCCCAGCTGTAAAGAGGCTATACGGGCACCGCCTCGGAGCTGATGAAGACCACGCTCAACCAAGTGCGCTTACAGGTGCCACTGCAATCGAAACCTTGGAGCTTCGTGAGTCGAAATTGCACGTCGATGACCTCCCCGTCATGCTCAGCCATCTCAAGTCCCTACGGACCCTGATATACCACATTGGCAACATCTACGCTAGAGCTGCTGTTCGCACGCGCGATCCACGCCACCTCCCTCTGCCGCCTTGCCATTGACCACGAGGATGGTGATCCGTTTTACTTTCCGGCTGAGGCCGACAGTGGCGACCGCGCCGAGCTACTCTCTTTCGTCGGCTTTACTTCCCTTACTCACCTGCGTGTAGCTCCTATCTTCCTCTTCGGACGTACGGCCCTGATGGATTACCTGGGTCTGCGGACGAGGACGAAATATTGAATAGACTACGCGGAGCACTCCCTCAAAATTTGGAGAGCCTCTACATTACACACTCAGGTTATATCCTTGGTGCGCAAGATGGGATGAAAAGGGCATTCGAGATACTGTTACGGCATTAGGAGTGCGTTCCCAAGCTGCGTGAGCTAGTGTTCGAAGTCTTTGTGCGACGTGTAGGTCTGTTAATAACACTTGCTGAGGAGATAGGGGTAAACGCTAAGGCAATGTCTCTTCACGAAAATTGCTATGTGAAAGAGAGAGGGTGGAGGTGGAATAGGAGGTGAGTTTTGAAAAGTGCATGTATAATGGCATGGGGGAGAGGGTACAGGTGTTGCCAAAAATTGTGGTGGCGGCAAGACGATGCGACAACGAGAGGAGGCGATAGCGAGAAGTAGTAACGGCAACGAGAAGCGGTGAAAACAAAAGCAACGACAATGAGAGGTGACGGCAACGAGGATCAAAGACAACGGGAGTGGAAAGATTTGATTGACGATGTACGATATTGGAGGAAAATGGGCGTTATATACTCTTTTTGCACATGTATAATACTATAGGTGAGAGGGTCCAGGTGTTGCCCAAACTGTGACGGGGTTTATGAGGGGAAAGTTTGGTTGTGCAGAAATATCCTTTCAGCTATGGATACCATGTTATTGGAGGAGTCATTAACATCGTCAGAGCTAACCGCCTGAAAAGAATCAAAAGTTATCTATCTATCGAATTAGTCTACTTCCGATTCTAATACCTATACAACTTCTCAACAGTCTGCCCACTAACAGCTCCCCTCTTCAGAATCCTATGGTTCAGCATTCTATAGTAAAGCGCAAGAGCCACGGATCCCACCGCAACAAAGAACAACATCCCAGCATTAACCCAGTGACCAGTTGGATATCCCCTTTTCGCCTCGTTAGCAGTATAGATCCAAACACCCGTGATCTGGCCCGGCGCACCAAACGAGATGTTGAGAGCGATGGCGAGACCGGTCGCGGCTGTACTTTCTACGTTTGAGGAGAGCCAGCCAAGCAGAGGCGGAATGGTGGCAAATGCGCCAGAACAGGCGACGATTAGGCAGCCGTAACGTTTCTGTTTGGGGGTTAGGTGGTTGTAATGGGGGTGTAATTGCTGAGGCACATACTTGGTATGAGGTGGCAGGGAGGAGAGCGCTGGCCATGAAAGCGCATGCGCCTACAAGGGCGCTGCCGGCGGTGTGCAAGCCGCGGGCATTGTAGTGGTCGGCAGACCATGAGACGAAAATCGTCACGACATCTGAGCCAATCGTCAGCTACCTTTTTTCTTGAGGTGAATTGCCAAGTTAGATAAGACTTACAAGCAACAGCGTATGGCGACACAGTCATTAGCTGGGCCTCAAGGTTGGCATATCCTAGTCCAGCGGTAATACTTGGCGTAAACAGAGACAGCGACGAGAATGGGACAGAGATGCCGAAGTAGATCTGGTTCCAGTCAGAGAGATTCGAGAATATCTGGATTAGGATGCTTACCGCGAAATGGGCGTATAGGCGCCAGTCGGTCAATGTAGACTTAGCTTGAGCCCAAGTCAAGCTCTGACCGTGACCGTGGGAGCCTTCAACCCGCAGGCGCTCGACGGCAAGAGCACGTTCCTCGAGCGTGAGCCATGTGGCGGTCTCGGGGTAGTCGGGCAGGAAGAAGAAGACGGCCACAGAGGACAAGACACTTGGGATGCCCTCAATGATAAACAGCCACCGCCAAGCGGAGAGACCACCAGCCTGATCCATGTGGCCGATACCATACGCCAATGCACCACCGAAGGCTCCAGCCAAGGTTGCAGATGCTAGGATAATGGCAACTCTCATCGATCTTTCCTCAGTTCGATACCAGAAGGTCAGATAATACACCAGTCCGGGAAAGAGACCTGCTTCAAAAACGCCCAGTAGGAACCGTACAGCAGTGACGGAGGCGTATGATTGGGCTCCACCAAGACCAACAGTCATGACTCCCCAGGAGAACATGAGGAAGGCAATCCATTTGCTAGGGCTGAACTTTTTCAAGAAGTAGTTGGACGGGACTTCAAAAACGGCATAGGCGACAAGGAAGACCATCAGTGCGATCCTTTCGCCTTGTAAGAGATAAGCCATCAAATCGAGGAAGGGGTCAACTACTCACGTGAACTGATACGCAGTCATTCCTGTGTCGGAAAGAAGATCATGGTGGACGTTGGAATTCAATGTTTTAGCATTGCCTTTTAGAAGTCAGCACATGATCAGAAGATAGCAGAGAAGATGTTTTACCAATATTTGATCTGTCAAGGTAGCAGAGCAGGTAAATTCCCGCAGATAGAGGCACAATGCGCAAGTCCTGCTTGAAAACTAGTGCTTTGTCTGCCGCCGTTTTTGTGACAGGAGCCTCGATAACTCCAGCGGCGTTCTCTTCTAGACCACCATTATCACTTGTGGCGGCAAGCTCAGGTGAGGCCTTTTCGTCGACAAATGTGGTCATATTGATAGCAATGCTGCCAATAAGATTGAAAACTGGTCAGGATTTATGTCGGAAGCTGCAGCGATGCTGAAATGAGGGGAAGCATGTAGCATATATTATCGCGCGTGCAATCACTGCCGAAGGAATGGCAAGTGTGGGGTCGGAATAGCACCTCCCCACATCTTACTCCCCTTTTCACAAGCTCGTTTGACGCGCCGTGCAACCTTTCCCCGACCTAGTTCTCCCAATCGAACGACCCCAGATCCGCTTCGGTGTTGTCGGCGTTCGTCAGCGCGAAAGGCCCCACATCAACTCCGGGGTTCTCAACTAGGGTATTCTCAACTGGGGTATTTTATTTAGACGAATTTGATAGTTTCTGGCCGATGGAGGAACAGGCTGGGTTTCTTTCAGTACTGTATTTTGGTGGACTCATTCTTTACTTCACACTTGCAATACGAATGCGAGAGGTGTATTATTATATCAGACTTTTCTTAGATGTGATGTGGTGTGTTGCAAAGACTAGTATCGTGGAGTGTTTAATAAAGAATTCCTAAATAAATGTTTCGGCTCCGTAACCATCATATATTCTGAGTCGAGAGGCCAAGAAAACTCCGGACTCAGAAGAACAGGGCGAAATTGGATTTTTACATTACAAACTCTATATATATTAGAAGTCCAACTCTTTGGTGACGCCAAATCTATAACGGGATATATTCCTGAATTCTAACTTCGCGGACGGTGGAATCAGGCATATACTTCCTTTTACGTTGCGTGGTCAACCATGACACTCCGGTCCTCTGTTGGTATTCTACGGCTCGTATACTTGTATGGTAGTGAGAACTGCTAACGGTGAGGGGGGCTGACGGTAACGTCATCTCGACAGAGCGCCAGCGAGAAGCCATGGCAACGACAGGAACTACGACAGTAAAAAAGTGCTGGGCAAACTACTTGTCCCGAATAGTTTGCCATGCCCTGAGTAGACGCTCTCCTCGTTTTGCCAGAGAATTTCCACACCCGGATCATGAGTCTTCTGGATTGCCTCTTGCTGCTATTAGTCTTGTCGGACAATTTAGAGGGTGACTAGAGTTATAAATTAGCGTCTGGGCGACGCATCCTTCATGCCACGCTTCTGATACGAGTGTGAGAAGTGAGATGTTCATTCTCCATAGGCTTCTAGTATTTCCATCTAAAAACATACCCCCTCTTCTTATCCTACATTCCTCCTATCAACAACTACTCCTTCCCCGCCCGATCCAGGCTACCTTATATCTGCGACAATCCCGAATCTACCAGCATAATCAGCTCAGTCCTTTATATCACCCCTCCTAGACACGAAAGAGAAGGAAAACTCACCAACAACGATCTTCTGCCCCGTCACCGACGAGTTCCGTGCAATATCTATAAAAGACTGCGCGCAGTCTTCGAGATCCGTCTATTCACTCGTCAGCACAGCCTTTCTGGGTTCATCTCGGGTAACTTACCACTTTCTTCAAGTACGCCCTCTCCTCCATGAACTTGATTGTAGCTTCTGGGTATTTCTGGCCCTACACCCAGTTATTAGCATGTTATCCCTATGTGCCCCCCTCCCCCCCCCAAAACAAATAACCAGAACCAAAAAGAAAGCACCATCACTCACCCACTCCGTCAAAAGCAACCCCGGACAAACCGCATTAACTCTAACCTTCGGCCCCTGACTCGCCGCAAACACCCTCATCAACTGCAACTGCGCAGCTTTCGTCACACAATACGGCAAACTGCTCCCCGACACCGCCATCCCCGCGATCGAGGACGTCATGATGAACGACCCGCCCTCGGGGTTAGCGTTGAAGGTTGGGAGCGCGGTGCGCAGGAGGTAGTTTTGTGCTTTGACGTTGACGGCGTAGCAGGTGTCCCAGTCGGCGGCGGTGGTGGCGTGGAGGTCGGGGATGGGGGAGAAGCGGGTCCAGCCCTGTGCGATCCCATCGTCGGTCAGCAATCAATCTTACAGTCCCGGCCCTGGTTGATAGGTCGAAGGGGGGGCGAGGAGGGAAACTCACGGCATTCGAAACAATAACATCCAATCCCCCCAACTTCCCAATCGTCTCCTCAACCACCCTCACACAGTCAGCCTCAACCCCCATATCCCCATGCACCGCAAACGCCTTAACCCCATACACCTTTTCTATCGTCTTCGCGATCTCCTCTGCGGCTGCGGCGCTGGAGACGTAGTTGATGACTAGGTTTGCGCCTTCTTTGGCGAATTTGTCGCAGATGAGGGCCCCGAGGCCGCTGGGGGGTGTTAGTTGCGGTTTATCTCCAATCCACGTCTATCTAGTGTTATGATCCCCAATGATGGTGGTGGGAGAGTGTGGTGTTGAGAGGGTAGTAGTGGTAGTGCCTCGCAGGGTCACAATCGCCGACCACCGGCCCGACGGAGCTTTCTGTTCCAGGAGGAGAGGGAGACATACCGCGAACCACCCGTCACGAGGACATTACGACCCTTAAGTTCATATGGCATCTTTAGTTCCTTTATTTCTTCTTCAATTCTTCAACTGTGTAATTGTGCGGTTATGCGGTATATGCGAGGTTGTGTTGTTGTTGGAATTAGATGGGGAGCATATATATATAGTGGGGGGGCATATGGCCCCACTTCCGCAATCCCCGAATGGTGGGATAGCCTAAGCCGACCGAGGAGTGCGTGGGGTCTTTGACGGACGACGTTGGTCAGTCGGTGCGGGAATCTGAGTGTATATTATGATACAGTACGCTATAGTATGGTAGGACCTGTGGACAAGAAAAGAGTACGTGGTGGTGCAACATCCAGGCTCTGGATTGGATGCGGGGTAAGCCGAGAAGGGGGGTTGTTTGGAACACAATAGCACCGGGCCGTTGTGGATGGGAGATGGCGAGCAGGTGAGGGGGTACACCATTTCATATCGTTACAACGACCTGTCACTCGAGCCTACTGTTCTCTGTATATCCGCGGCACGCATGTTCAAAGTGTGGTGAGAGGGATGTTACTGAGCAATTCCACTTGCTTTGAGAGCTATCATCAACGTGGTTCTAGTGTTACAATTCCTATCCCATCCACCCTCTCTCTCTGTCCATCACTCAAACGAGCAAAATCAGGCCCCAAGTCGTCCCCCCGTCCACCAGCAGATAGATCCATCCCGTCCGACCAGCAGAAACGCAGCGTGCCTCTCACACCCACGCGGGGACCAGCAGCCACCTCTTCCCACCTAAACCTCGTTCTTCTTCTCCTCCTCATCCACACTCCCCCCACCCTCCGAGCTCTCGGTAGTGGTAACGCGGCTCGCAGCCTCCATATGATCCTCCGGGCGCGCCCCGTGGATATTCTCCTCGAACACTGGGTCGGGGTCGAACAGCTCGAATTTGGTCTTGAAATCCTTCAGTCCGGCGGCGTAGGAGGAGCTGTTGGAGCGGCGGCGTGCGTTGGTGACATTGAAGCCTTCGTCTTGGATTTCTTCGCCGTCGATGCCCCTAGGAGGGAGGTGTTAATGGTGTGTTTAAAGAGGGAGAGGGAGAGGGAGCAGGGACTGGAAGGTGGGATGGGGGAGGGAGGAAGGTGAGTGGACTTGACGTACCAGTTTCCTCTACCACCACCATTCTTCTTGGTCTTCTTCGGGTCGGCGTCGACGTGGCCTGCCTTGGCGAAGTAGCGGGGGAGATGCTCCTCGGCGCTGGCGGTGCCATCGGCGAGGCCTGCGTGGTCGCGGTCGTTGAGCTTGTGGGATCGAGTCACTGTTGATGAGGCTGTTAGTTGTTGTTTCCACGTTCGTATGCAGCACAGTCTGCACTCCTCGAGACTTCTCCGCATGTCTCATCTCGACAAACGGGTGCAACTTACTGATTGGGACTGTTGTTGGGAGAATCGATTGGATTCCGTTCGTCTGATGTTGTTGAATGTATTCGTGTCGGGGTTGTTCTGATTGAAGCGGTCGATGAGTGGGAAGGAGGGGGTTATGGGGTGGTTATGGAGGCCGACGTTGAGGGGTGAGGTGGTGCAGTATAGGAGGTGGAGGCGAGCGGCGGGTGGTGGTCCAGTTGAGCGAAGGGGTGTATGTCTGGGTATGGGGTACTTATGAGGTTGTATTGGTACAAAGAAGGTCGTTATTGGAAAGGAAAGAAGAGCAGCTGCGAATGGGAAAGGAAGTGGCCGGTTATATACCGTTGGTTGTTGAGCAAAAGTCCCTGGTACCTCGTGCGGGGTTACGGGTTACGGGTTACGGAGGATGGAAGGATACAGACGACATACAGTGATCGCGTGAGAGGCGAGAGAGCGAGGTGATGACATGTCCCCACCAATTCTCACTCATCGCGTGCTCACATGACCTCCGTCGTTGCACGGTCATCGTGATTCAATACTGTAACTTACACTAACTTACAGTACGGGGTTAATCGCCCACAGCACACGACCCTCCCCCGCCTTTTTGGCCCTTTAGGCCCCCAGAAATCCCCCAGAAATCGCTCTACTCCCTGCGCCTTCCCATTTTGGGATTAGCCACTCGAGTACGTACAGTACAGCGACAAAAGTATTCGTACGGGTCTGTGCGTTTTCCCACACAAAAAGACACTCGCTTACTGCAATTTGAGCACAGACCCGTACGGAAACTTATGGCCCCATACTCCGTACTTGTACTGTCGTACTTGTACTATTGAATCACGATGACCGCTTGTTGTTGCCTGAGGACGCTAGAGGACCCTCGCACCCTCCCATACGATCCCGATAAGATCGATAAGATCAAACATCGATGACGTCACGCTCAACCACCACACCTCTCCCTGTGGTTATGGTTAATGAACCTCATAATCACTCAATAATACCCGGCTGGATAATCAGAGTTCCACACTGACGACAATGATTTATTTGCCCAACTTTCGGGTCCTTACTTTATGGTGATAGATTGAGTAATGTGATGTTTAGGGGCATTATAAGTAAACTTAATGCTGCACCTGGCCACTCCGCCGATGGAGTATTGTGTTATTTTAGATTAATAACCACGGCTCATCCACAAGCTCAGCTGCCTTCTTCCGTTTCCTGGGAAACGGGCTCCCATCATCATGAAAGCACCTCACCACAACATCCTTATTTCCCTGATCCAGCAAGCTCCTTGGAAACCGCCCAAATAACCTAACCATCTCTTCAACATACTTCTTCACATCGTACTTAACATTACGGCCGCTGCGCGCATCGAACATATGCACCCCATCCACTAGCTCCAGCACCACAGCACCGAGATTCCAGATATCTACCGCTGGGCCCCAGGGCGCGGAGATAACTACCTCGGGGGCGCGGAGAAGCACAGGCTGAATTGGTGTCGCGCGCTGCTCGCGCGACCATCCTGCCACAACCCAGTCGCCGAGGCAGATATCGAGGTCGTTCACGGAGCCTATGATGTAATAGCTGCGCAGGTCGCGGGAGGGGATGCTGGAGGGTAATGCAGCAGGGTCGTTAAGCAGGGAGGGGTCGACAGGAGTCTCGGCGAGGATGGACAATTCAAACGGTTGCTGTGACGGATCGGGCCTATAGCACTCGGCGCTTAGGATTTTAAATTTTAAGGGCTTGATAGGTGTTGGCTCTAAAAGTGCGTTAGCTTGGGCTATAATTATATATACACGTACTGCTCGTAGAGTACTAGCCAGACGATAGAATAGCGACCGTGGCCGAGCTTGCGGAGGACACAGTACGGCCGTTGTAATACTCGTCGTTGAGACCCTATTCTATCCGATGCTCGTGAATGGCTTGCGGCAAACCCATCTGAACCGTTGCTGCCGCAAGCCGGATTTTTAAAGTATCAAAATCAACGCTTTAATCTTCAATTGCTCGACTTCATCACATACGAGTTGCCCGCGGAGGACATAATAAGCTCCTTACAATTGCTCAAACGAAGGCCCTTAAAGAGTGGATAAGTACGGAAGTAATGTTCATAAGTTTTGTATGTGGATCCGAGAGGATTGAATTTGGTTATCAAGCTATGTAGTTAGTGCCTAAGGCAGGGGAATAGCGGTTCCCCACCATCTAGGCCCAGAATAGACTAGACTATTGTAGCTTACGGTACTCGAGTATGTAGAGTACGGAGTACAGTATTATCTCGTTAAGTCGATGTAATTGGTCATGCATAAATATATCGAGTTATAGTAATATCGAGTTAGAAAGTGATCTGAAGTAGACCCGAAGTAGCCCCTCAGCTAAACCATCCATCCATCCAACGTGCCTTGAACCAACTCATTGGCCTGTTTGGCCACTAATTGCCTCTCCACGCGCTCTAAAGAGCGCAAAAATGATGTTGGATCTGTAATGCCACTATTCTCAGATTCTGAGAACTCAATCAGAACTTGGAGGGCTTGTACAGCGTTCAGTGTGGTGAGCACAGGACGCTGGGGCTCCTCATCGTCATCATTTTGAGCATCGGAAACCTGTATAAATGGAGCCATCGCCTCCTGTAGAATTGTGTCCTCATCTAAGCCTCCCTCCACCTCTTGTATTCCCTCCTCTGCTGGATTCAAAAAGTTCGAAAGGTCTATAGCGTCTGATATATGACCAGCTTGTTGTACTCGAGGATATAAGTCGTTTAGAACAGGGAGTGGGTGTATAGGAAGCTGTATTGGGCGTAAAAGAATCGTGCTTTTTCGAAAGCAATTGTAGATAGTCGTATTTGTAACTTCATGATGCCATGATCGAATAAGCCAGCGAATTGCAAAGTGTATTGTCATTGTTTTGATTGGATCCAGGTTGTTGCTAAAAGATTCGAGCATGAACTCGAGCCATTGCCGACGATAATAGCTTTTTAAAGAGGCTATAATACCTTGATCGAGAGGTTGATATCGACTGGTCGCATTTGGAGGAAGCCAGATAATTCGTATGTTTGGAGGAGGAGGCGTCGATTCCACTGCAGCGATATGGGCCAAGAAGTTATCCATTGTAAACAGTATAGAACGTGACATACCAATATGAGTATAGAAAGCATTTAGCCAATGATTCATCCAAGCCTTCTTATTCCACCTCCAAACCCCACCCATTGCCCCTACATCAACGTGTTGTAAAGCTCGAGGCTTTTTAGCCTTTCCAATAAACCAAAGAGGAAGTCGATCTGTTCCAGCAGCATTAACACAAATGGCTACTGATATGCGTGCTTTGTCCTTCTTCTGTCCTGGAATTGATCGTGTTGTAAAGCCCTTTGAAGGGCTCATCCTCCAGTAAAGCCCAGTCTCATCCATGTTGTAAATATTGTCCTCTAAAAACTCCCCCGCAATAGTTTGTATAGCCTTCATTTGTTCTTCTGCAGTGACACCAATAGATCCAGCTTTGCCATGTAGAGTTCGATATAATATATTATGCCGTTGTCAAAACTTTACGATCCATCCGTAGCTAAATTCTGGCGTAGGTAGTCCACGGTATTGTGGTAGCTGATTCCAGATAATCTTCACCTTTGATTGTAAGATTTCTGTAGTTGTAATGCTGCCACACTCTTCAATAAGCCTCTGCCAGTCATAAAGAGCAGCTTCTAATTCAGGCCAGGCGACAGCGTGGCGACGCTGAGCTTTAGAGCTGTTTGTTTCCAGAGTATTAGGAGTATCGTCAAGGTCCAAAAATCGAGAGCTAAGGGATTCTGAGACTGTAGATTGGCTAAGTCGACGATTGTATTTCTCAAGGAACCACTGTATAGTGGCCTTTTCTGTAGGTTTCGGATGGTGAGATCGATGCCAGGTTCAGAGGGCTTTTCGCTGTTCGAGAGACATAGAATAGAGCTTTTTCGAAGGCATTTTGAAGGTATTCTAAGAGTAGTCCAGTAATTAGTTTAAGTTGATAATTGGGAAAAGGGACTCAATATCGTTGTGTATCGTGATTTGGACGAATGGAAGGATCCGAAGAAAGTTATTGAGTTATCCAGAAAATCGACTAATCGTGTATCGACTTAACGAGATAATACTGTACGATCAATATCAATGGAATGTCGGCCGACTACTAGGGTAACTGTATTGGGCCTAGCGCCAGATCTGTATTAGGCTATTGCATCTTAGCCCCTGAGAATAGCTGTTCTGGCTCTGCGCTCATTGCTGGTATCGATAGGATATCAATTGCCATTTTATGAAGATTTGGATATGCCGTCCATTAAGCAGGCTCCATCCACTAACCTCTAAGCATCACATTCGGGGGTAACTGGCAATTGACAGTATTTGAGATACTCGTATTGAAGAAGAGGCTGATAACGCTGCTGTTTTGCCTTTGCCCAATGCTCAAATCCAGACTTTGCATCACTAGGCTCTATATATGATCTGTCCCATAATGATTAACCTGATGCTCTCGCAGCTTCTATCCAAGATTTTGGCCAATTATCATAGATATAAGTCCATTTCTAGCTTAGAATAAGCACTAATGTAGCAACATATGTAGACGAGCTATATGTTATTAGCTATAACGTAACCTATTATATATTCTGTTAAGCCATAGTACTTATCCATTACTTTCTAAGCATAATTAAAGCAGGGGCTTAATAATGGATCTTGCTCATATTGCTTCTTCCCATTCTCAAGCTGGTCAAGTAAGAACTCCATAGAGAGTAATACTCATTCAAGAGTCGCTTGCCGGCCCTCAGTAGCCATTGTAGCTTCATAAAAATGAAGAAGGCAATTGTATATATTCTGTAGTGCATGTAATGGTGGGTGCACTAGATGTGAGAATCTAGCCACCCAAGGAAGGGATGATTTTACTAAAACAACACACTGTCTTAGGAAACAGAGCCAAAGGGTTGTAGCTTAGACTATTCCAAAATGCAGCAATCAGGTGTATGATGTAGTGAAGTGGTTCAGACAAGTTGTAACAAATGTTGAGTCTGAGAACTCGGGGGTAAGTCAGAGGTTAGCACCTCAGTGTAACGCTGACTTCTAAATGATAGAAGACACAGAGGTTTCTTGCGTAAGGTTGATGCTACGGCTACAGTAACATGATGTCATGGTTACAGGGCCAGGGCCTAGTAACGTGACGTGTGCGTCACAGGGGGCAAGCGGGGTAGGCTGCCATATGACGGGGCTAATGGATAGTTGCAGAAACTAGTGGATATTGGATAGTTGAGCTATCCACGAACTATCCTGAATATCTAGCTATCCGCCAACTATCCAGATTACCCATGAGGCACGACGCCACTATATAAGTAGATAGTATTTCGTTAGATAGGAGCTTCGTGCTCAACTCAATATAGTATTCTTTACAATACTGTAACGTGTTACTTGGAAAGCCTTTGTGTCTAATCCCCTGCCTCCTCTGTCAAGTCAACCTTACGCAAGAAACCTCTGTGTCTTCTATTGTTTAGAAGTCAGCGTTACAGTTGACTTGACAGAGGAGGCAGGGGATTAAACACAAAGGCTTTCCAAGTAACACATTACAGTATTGTAAAGAATACTATATTGAGTTGAGCACGAAGCTCCTATCTAACGAAATACTATCTACTTATATAGTGGCGTCGTGCCAAAGGGATATCCGTGATAACATGGATAACATAATATCCATGATATCCAATGTTATTCATGACCTGATATTCCATGGATCCCTGTGGATATCATGGATAACATAATATCCATGATATCCAATGTTATCCATCACATGACATTCCGTGGATCGCCGTGGATAACATGGTAACATAATATCCATGATATCCAATGTTATCCATCACATGAGGTTGCAGCCGTAAGTGCTAGCCATAGCACTAGCACTTAGCTGTAACACTCACTGACTTTTCAGAAACAAAGAATAACAAGATCAATGCTTGGAAGCTTGGAAAAGACGTGGAAGTATGTGATAGTTGATTTACTGTATTGTCTGCTTGCCCTTTCTTAAGGAAAGGGCAATCCTATTTATGCTAAAGGAGTGTAGTTCTCTCATTTTCCAAGACTTTCCATGACTAACCAGGCTTGGTAACTGTAGTCGACGTAAGAGAATCCCATAGAACCATCTCCTAGGTTCCTAGCCAATAGGAAGTGAAAGGAGGTCCAAGGTCAGAGTACCCCTATAGACAGATTATGTCATAACTTAACCAATCTTGTGGGTAACTAAGGAGTAATGACGTGTAATGAATCATAGAGGGTTGTAGAAGCTTTTGGAGCTATTGTTCATGTTCCTAGGCCTCTAGTTGATAGAGATATGTCATGTGTAGTATTAGCCCAGTAACTAAGGAGTGATGTCATGTAATGAATCATAGAGGGTTGTAGAGATATGCTATGTGGTCATATCGGCCCAGTAACTAAGGAGCAATGACGTGTAATGAATCATAGATGGTTGTAGCAATCGTTGAGTAGTATTGCTCTTGTTGTTGGTGTGACAAGCCAAAATATGTATAGTGACTTGTAGGTTTGAGGAGGAGATTTCTAAGTTTGCTCTTGAGTTTGATAGCAAACTGAGTGCAACGAATGTCAGTATGACACTTGGGTGGCTAGATTCTCACATCTGGTGCACCCACCATTACAGAGAGCTGTTCTGATGTCATATGATGCGGTTCTTAATGTGCTCTGTTTGAAAGTTAAGCTCCCTTATAGTTGAGGGTCTTTGAAGTCTAATTGTTGCTCTTAACTATAGGAGGAGTCGGAGTTCTGAAGTGTAGATTCAAGTGAGAGAGAACATTCTATGGCTCATACAGAACTAGTCCTATAGCTCGGAACCCACTCTTGATATGTTTCAAGCTAACGTCCGTACGAAAGCTTTAGTAGAGTAAAGCAGCTAACGTCAAGTGGCTGAAGAATGTACGAGGAGTGTAGTGGCATATAGAGGGTGATTATCTTCCGTTCTATACAGTAGTGTTGAAATTGAGCGAAGAGGTGGCTCTCATGTCCGTTAATAATGAGAAGGTGATAGGTTCTAATTGAACGACTGTTTGTATGTTAATTAAAGTGTTAAATCCACTCGTACCTAATTGAAGAAGTCCACCCATTCTCACTTAGCATAATCACCTAATTGTCTGGTAATCCTAAGTCCTTGTAATAAGCAGAGAGGTGATTCTACGCCTTGAAAATGATGAATGGCAGGAGTGCCCATCTGTATGAATTAATACCTTAGATAATAGACACCCATTCCCTATTTCCTAGCTATATAGTCTTTGGACGGCTCTTTGCTCCTAAGCTTGTGACTACCTTTGCAGTAGCAATAACTCCCATTACGAAACCTGCTTCATCAAAGTTGTAGATATCCTACTCTAAGATGCCATATTTTGCGACTATGTTTCATACGAGAGAAAACCACTCTTGAATTATCTTAGGATCTTTGCATTTTGCCCGTTTATAATCGTACTTCTGACTTAACTTTGCTTTGATTTCCGTACGACGCTTTATGAAGTTGGTAGTCCAGTTCTTCCTAGCAGAGCTGCTCTCGCCTCGTTCAGAGAGTATAAGGTCTGCCATTTCTTGCACACCTTGCAGCCGGGGCGGAAATCCACGTGAATCTAGGTTGAGGATGTACTGAACAAGAGCTGATTCTTCGTACAAAGTTAATTTTCGTAAGTTGAGGGTAGAGTCGCGTCGAGAAGTAGCACCATGAGCGCGTCATCTAAGTGTTGCTTCAGGGACATCGTACGACATTGCAGCAGCTCGAATACTTTTGAATATGGCCTTGTTTAATTGATTGGATAGCTAGAAGTATCCTACCCTCTTGATTAGAGGATTTAGCTTGAGTTGGTGGTGCCATTGTTCATATAAGTAAGTTGACGCGTTTTTGGTGTTTTGGTGCGTCACTCGCTTGTGTGCGTCACTCGTATGTGAAATACGTTATACGCTTTATCAATAATCATGATTATGATTACGACTAAATAACGTGCATGTATAACGAAAGTGCCAAACAAGCGAAAGTGCCAAAATCATGCGGTGACCAACCCCCCCAACTAAATGTTAAATTCCTCCACAACAAAACATGCGCCATAAAAATGATGAAAGCAAATTAGTGCTAGCTATCCAAGCTATGCAAAGCGACCCAAATTTGCGCCTTCGAGTTGCAGCTAGGATCTATTCTGTAGACCACCGCAAGCTACGTCACCGTTTACAAGGCGTACCTTCACGACGCGATATCCAAGCCAACTTACGGAAATTAAGTAACCTAGAGGAATCAGTTCTTGTTCAGTATATACTTGACTTAGCTGCTAAAGGGTTCCCTCCTCAGTTGTCTATTGTTGAAGATATGGCAAATCGACTACTTGCAACACGTGACGTGCCACGCGTCGGGTCACGTTGGGCTTCAAACTTTGTTAAGCGCCATGTAGAGCTCTGGACACGCTTCCAGCGAAAATACGACTACCAGAGGGCTAAGTGCAAAGATCCAGAAGTCATTCGTGGCTGGTTTGAGCTTGTATGGAACACAATTCTAAAGTATGGCATCAACAATGCAGATATCTACAACTTTGATGAGACTGGGTTTATGATGGCCGTCATCTCAAGCGCAACGGTAGTAACGAGCTCAGATGGGCAGGCAAAGGCAAAAAAGGTGCAGCCTGGCAATCGGGAATGGGTTACAGTAATCCAAGGCGTTAGTTCTCAAGGTTGGGCAGTGCCGCCATTTGTCATTGTGGCAGGTAAAAACCACCTTGCATCTTGGTATGAGAATAGCGGATTTCCAGCAGATTGGGTAATCGCTGTTACTGCAAATGGCTGGACTACAAACGAGAGAGGTATGGATTGGATTCAGCATTTTGAGAAGCACACAAAGCCCCGGAGTGTTGGTGGTTATCGCTTGTTAGTCCTTGATGGTCATGAGAGCCACCACTCAGACAAGTTTGAGGAGTACTGCAAAGAACACAACATTATTACGCTTTGTATGCCTGCTCACTCTTCCCATATACTCCAACCACTTGATGTTGGCTGTTTTGGCCCATTAAAGAGAGCTTACAGTCGGCAAATTGAAGATATGATGCGGGCTCATATTATTCACATTACTAAGGATGACTTCTTTCCTGCCTTCCAAGCTGCATTTAACATTGCAATGACAGAAAGCAATATTCAGGGAGGATTCCGAGGTGCTGGGCTTCTTCCATTTAGCCCTGAGAGTGTAATATCTACACTTGACCTTAGGTTTAAGACGCCAACACCTCCAACCTCTCGCCCAAACACCGCTCAACCATGGGTTTCTCAGACACCAAATAACCCAACTGAAGCTGTATCACAGTCTACTTTCATTAAAAACTGAATTGCGCATCATCAAAATAGCTCTCCAACCTTAATCTATGCAGCTGTTGACCAGTTTACAAAGGGTGCATCGCAAATAATGCATCAATTAGCATTGTTAAAAGCAGAGAACCAAAACCTGCGACAGGCAAATGAAGTGCTAAGCAAGCGCCGGAGAGCTAAAAAAACACGACTACAGCAAGGAGGATCACTTAGTCAACAGGTAGCACAGGAGCTACAGGACGAGAGGGACGTTGTGCAGCAAGTAGAGCAAGAAATAAGGGCAAGTAGTGGTCAGAAGCCAAGGGAAGAAACCCATGCACGTCGCTGTGGCAAGTGTGGTGAGACTGGACACAATGCGCGCACTTGTCAGATTGTAATAGACAGGTCTGAGGAAGAGGACTCCGAGTAGTTTTAATTAATTTATATTGTTGTGGTGGATTTATCGCAATTCTTATGGGGTAGTCGCGATATTTTGGCACTTTCGCTTGTTTGGCACTTTCGTTATACATGCACGTTAATCATGATTATAATTGATTTTCTAACCCTGTCTGTTAAACAGTGCAAATCTGCAGCCATCAAATCACCGGCGTCGACCTATAATTACTCTACAAAATTCAGCCAGCCCAGATAAAACTCCTATCCTCAAAAGCCACCCCCAGATATGCCGCAATTTTGAAATCTTTTCGAAGCCTAGGGAAACCTGGCATTCAGCCAACGCATAAAATAAGCCACCTTCGCCCTGTCATGGAAAACTGCTGTTACCACCGCCCGTCAAATGATGACAGGCACAGGTAACTTCATAGCAATCAAGACCCATCCATCTCATCGTCCAGCTTAACTTTGCACCCCCCACAGACAATCATCCCGCAGTCACAATCGTACGCCAAGTCGGTATCCTTCTTCTCACCCCCCTCGGCGAACTGCATATTGTCTCCTTCAACGACCTTCGCGCACTTCAAACAGAAAGCGCTGCACTCGCAACGGTACTTGCTTGTTTTCTCGTCTAGCATCGTATCTTGTGGACAGCCGTAGCAGAGTAAGTGCTTACCCATGCACATCCACGCCGGTTCGCCATCCACAGTCGTAGGCACCCAGCCTGGCTTGGTGGATAAACCGGTCGGGGGTGTTAGGTGTTCAATGTTATAACCCAGGTTCCGGGTGTTGATTGGCGGCAAGTGCGGGGAGAGCACCTTCCAGCAGACCTGGCAGTCCAGGGAGCTGTCATTTTCATTTTTGGGGTTCAGAATCCTTCCATTTGAAAGGTACCCATTGAATTTGTAAATTGGCTTGAAGCTGTGATTGCAGCTCCAAGTGTCGACGGTTGGATTGTATGGCTCAACGCCGAGGTCCAATTCAGTGCCATTCACAGCCATGTGGGCGTCAATGTCTTCTGAATCCAAGTCATCTTCGGACATATTGTCGTCATCGTCGAAATCGTCGTCTTCGCATTGTCCGTCGCACTTCTTAATGGGCTCGAGGCAGGCGAAACAGAAGTGTGCTCCACATCGGCATTCGATGTGAGCACAGCCGAACATTCTCCTCACACCAGCACGGCATTTGGGACACCGCTTGATTTTCCATTTGTCAAGCTGAGCAGCGAGAAGTGGGTCGAGGTCTGTTTGAGGGCATGGAGCGTCCGGATGCTGGACTAGGCGACAACGTGTGCAGATCGAGACGGAGCATTTTGGGCACGTGGTGGTAGAAAGTGCGGTTGAGATGGGTGAGACAGAAGCGGTACATTTAACGTCGACATCCTTCTTGGAGAAATATTGCTCGTGGAAGGAAGATAGTGATGGGATTTGCTCGTTTCCAAGGTTGAGGTTCTCATTCTGGGGTTGTGGCGTCAAATATTCCGACGAAGTTTGCTTTATTTGATTTTGCCGAGATGCTTCCTTTATTAATCTGGGCGGAATAAACGTCGAGCAGGTTGGGACGGGACAATAAAAGCGGTCTGGAGTTCGCCATTCCTCAAACTTTGCTTTGTAGAGATCAACCTATCATTAGTTAGTGAGGAGCTCCAAACAAATGAGCCAAAACAGCCTACCTGATCCTTGGCCAACAAATGAGACACAGCTGAAAGAGGCACCGTACAACAGCAGCGTGGAGGCATTTTTGATTCATTTTTGCAAGCGTCGATGAACCAATCTTTTAGACATGTGATGCAAATAACCTGCCCACAGAACCTCTCACAGCTGTATGGGAAGTTTGTCCCCACCGAGTCCTGCCCCGAGAACCGGTCAAGGCAGACACTGCAGGCTTTGGTTATAGTGGTCGTCTTCTTGCCCGCGTTCATCATGGCTCTTAGATCTATCTCTCTTTGAAGTTGTGGTATCTGATCAAGCCCGTGTCGCCGAGTATCGAGGTTGTGGAAGTGCTCAAATCTATAAAAGGTTTCGGCTGGGTCTATAAGTTAGAAATGGAGTCAGGCGCATTGTAGGATCAACATGAACATGTTGGGACTTACAACCTCTTGCTTCCCAAGGATCCTGATATTGTTGGTTGGCCTGAGGAAAGGATGTCCCGGGCGAGTGCTGGATTCCTGCTGTAGGTGCCTGGTTTGGTAAAAGAGAAATATTTTGGTTGAGAAAGTTAGAACCTTCGCCTGGATTTCGGATGTGTGTATTGGAAGTCAAACGCCCAACTTGGGGGCCGCTGTTCATTTCAGGTGGTGGCCTCGCTACAAATGGCGGTTGGCCTGAAGTATTCCAGAGCTCGTCGACCTCGAGCATTCGGCGGGGCTGCATGTCGCCGTCAGGCCGCTCGACAGAAGATGTACATCCCATATTAGGCGTACCGTACGATTCAATATGGGTTATACCTTGAAGGTCGTCATATCATGACAGTCTCCGGCGAAGAATGGTTGTGGTGATAAGAGAAGTTAAGAAGGATGTGAGAGTCTCAGATTGGCGCGCCGAAGATGATAGGTTCTTTCGGCAACTTCGTTTCCTTGTAGTTATGTTGCATTTGAAGGTTCATTGATGGAGTGAGAAAGAGAGAAGACCGATAACTGGAAATAAGACAGTTAATTGCCATATAGGGTACCTACAGGTATACGTTTGTTGTACTACGACAACACCCCCTTGGGTGACGTTTTCAGTGGTTGGTAAACCACCACCCAACAATTACCCAAGGATGAATTAATTACCTCGGGCATAAATATCTAACGGCACGTTTCGTCACTATAACGTCCCCAGGATTTGTTCTAGAAATGTAAAATATGAGTAGGTGATGGATTGAGCTGGCTTCCTTGCATAACCGTCAAGTGTTCCATAGGAAACAATCTATCTATTTCTATATATAGTGCCTGTATGTGATCTTACTGGTCGCTCTGTTTGATGTCATCCCTCCCTACCACGTTTTTCTTCCCAGGTTATTTGTCATGCACACAATACAGACCTCATGGAAAACCGTAGGAAACAAACTACCTGTATGGACATCGTTTCCCACCACTAGTCCTCGTCCCCCATGGGGTCGGTGGCTATGAGGAACAGATTCGACCACTCCAGGAGTTCTGAAACCATCTATTACAGAATGCAACGCCTAACTCAAAAATAAACTCGCATACCCAAGATCATGCAAATGCCAGATGACGAGATGCTGAAGAGATCATCCTTTGGAAACACAAATCAAATTACTGCGGATAAGACTATCCCTTACTCCTCGTACTTCGCAACGTGGGTCTCAATAGCCCTAGAAACAAATTAGTAGGTATCTCAGTAAAATATTGTTGGAAAACTAACCTTCCGCTGGGGTCGGTCTGCTTTGACCATGTTGGTGTCCAGCGCATGACAGTCTCAGCACAGGATGGGGGGAAGTGCTCGTCGAACATCATTCTGTACCAGTAACCCTCCTTGGAGTCTGGGATATCAGCGCCCCATTCTGGCTTAGGGTTCTTCATCATCTCATCGGTCACGTGTAGCTCTGCGTTATCCTTGAGAGCATCAATCCATCCGTAGCCAACGCCATCAGAGAACTGCTCCTTTTGCCTCCAGAGGATCTTGTCTGGCAGGTATAGGTCCTCGGGGGTGTCGAACGCCTTCCTGAGGATGTGCTTCTCAATGCGGTCTCCGGTAATCATCTTCTCCTTTGGATCAATGTTCATTGAAACCTCAAGGAACTCCTTATCCAAGAATGGGACACGAGCCTCCAATCCCCAAGCAGAGGTAGACTTGTTGGCTCTCAGGCAATCCGACAGGTGGAGGTTCTTAACACGGCGAACAGTCTCGGCCTGGAAAGACTCCTTATCGGGAGCAGCGTGGAAGTAGAGGTATCCTCCGAAGATTTCGTCACTACCCTCACCACTTAGGACCATCTTAACTCCCATTGCCTTGATCTTCCTTGCGAGCAAGAACATGGGCGTAGAGGCACGGATGGTGGTAACATCGTATGACTCGAGGTGGTAAATGACATCGGACAGAGCATTGAGACCATCCTCAATGGTGAACGTCATATCGTGATGCTTTGTTCCTAAGAACTTCGCAACCTCCTTGGCCGCAATCGTATCTGGGGACCCTGGAAGACCGATGGAGAAGGAGTTAAGCTGGGGGAGGTATGTAAGAGTGTTTAGGTTGTTATCGTCGTCAATACCAACAAGGCCCTCTCCATGATCCTCATCGACATTCTCCTTTGGCGAGGCTTCTATGGCCTCCTGAACCTGCTTCTTCAGGCGCAGAGTTTCACGCTGGGCAATGGCTGCAACCAAACTGGAATCAAGGCCACCAGAAAGCAGAACACCGTACGGCACCTCCGCCATGAGACGCTTGCGGACAGACTTCTCAAAAGTTTCGCGAAGGTGCTTGAGGTCTAATGGATCGGTAGGAACTCTCTTCTCGTCATACCAAGTTGGCTCGAAATAACGAGTCGTCTTGCCAGTCTTCGAGTCAAAGATGTGTCCAGGTGGGAATGAGATGATTTTGTCGCATACGGGGTGCAGACATTTCAGCTCTGACGCAAAGTATACCGCTCCTGGTGTCTCGCTGGACCATCCCTGGTAAAAGCTGGTAATACCGATTGGGTCGCGTGCTGCAATAATCCGGTCTTCCTTCTTGTCGAACAGAACAAAAGAGAACATGCCGTCTAGGTATTTCGGCGCATCGATACCATGTTCAAGATACTAGCAAGAATTTAGTTTGGTTCGCCTCAAAAAGGTTCCAGTTAACCAACCAAAGGAATGATAACTTCGCAATCGGAGTGTGTCTTGAAATGGTATGGGGTCTTGAGGGTCTTGCGAACGACCCTGTGGTTGTAAATCTCTCCATTGACGGCCAGGGCGATGCTGTCATCCTCGTTGGTAAGAGGTTGCGCTCCACTCTCTGTAGAATGTAAGCTTTCAGTGTTGGTGGAGTTCGAATTCGTGTTTCTTACCAACACCGACGATGCTTAGGCGCTCGTGAGCAAGAACTGGGAACAGTTAGCAATCTGCAAATATGATCCAACATCTCTTAGACTTACTCGTGTTTCCGCCAACGTAGTTTCCGCCTTGCAAGTTATGTTAATTGCTGATCTGTTGCTATCGAATGTTGTGGTGACTCACTCCAATCTGGTCCACGGTGACGGATCCTGCAAAATGTCAACATGCCATTGCCTTCCAAAGAGTTTATATAAAATCACTTACTGCTTTGCCATCCGCAGAGCGGTAGGCTTGAATTTGGCAACATCAGGATGTCTGTTTGGGGAGTCAGTGGCCAACCAAAGGTAAAATCTGTCCGCAACTTCACAAAATGAGGGGTGGGAATTGCCCCGCCATTGTTTGTGTGGCAAGCAAAAAACATATTCTGAATGACTTACTGGTGGCAAGCGAATATTCCACACATCTTTAAAGAATTGTCTCTTGTTTTCCGTGAGGTTATGAAGAGCTAGAACCGAGGTATGACACGAAGCAAGAATTTCAAGAATACCAAGGGTTAAAGATGGGGTATAGATAAGTCTATAAATTAATTTTTAGGCACAGTCACACTCGCCAATTAATGGGACGCGGCCGACAATCGGCGGTTGGCTGTGCCGTTGATTCACGTGTGGGGGGACCGGAAGTACTCGAGTTAGAGATCTGCGCGTCATTCGCTCAATGATATTTCCGGCCTTGGCCTTTGTCAGCGCTAATATTCGAGTGCCAACTGGATGATCATCTTACTATTCGCCATAAGAAAGCATATTAAAGTTTTCATGAAGAAGTGCAATACAATCATTAATAGACAGGCATACTCGAGTATTATAATGCTATTTATTGTATGTAGTAGAGTAACCTGGCCCCAAACGTCTCAGTCCGTAACATATACAGTGATGGCATTGACAGAAACCAACATGTCTGAAAGGGTCACAAGATGCGACGACAGCCAACCAATGAATTACCTATCAACTTGACTAGATAACACCTGGTTTCACCGACTATCTGCCATATGCTATCCCCAAATCGGCTCCAGTAATGAAGGCGCCCCGTCACAGATCAGTCGAATGAGACAACCGTTTCCCGAGATGTCATGCATAACAATCGCTGGTGCTGCTCTTCATGCCAAACCACAAAGATAAGGACTCGTGAGCCATCATGCTTGAAATGCTGCCATTTTCCTCTTCCACGACGATGCGACATGCTGCCCAGCGCCTAAACTAGCAATCCAGCCTTATTCGCAAATCCGTAAACGCCCATGGAATCCCTTCCGTAAACTGCCAGCCCTAACACCCAAACCCAATCTTAACGTCGTGTCCTGATGTGCATCTACGGCGCAGGGTTCTCCCGAACAATCCTCTTGACCTTGGCCTCATAAGCCGCCTTATCCTTCTTGAACAGGTTGTATGCATCCGCTTGAGCTGGCGACTCGGGGTTTGGATCGTCGAGGAGATCTTGGACACCTAACAGTATCTGCTTGATTGTGATGGCTGGCTTCCACCCTTCCTCTTCGTTCAAGATCGACAAGCACACGGTTCCTGAGGGGTAGACATTTGGGTGAAAGAGCGGAGGAGTGAATTTGCCTGGTCTTGTTAGCTCAGCGCTTGCGCAAGGGAAGTGCTCGTGTCTTACACTTTGGTGGCTTCGTTGGGTATTCTGCGCGAAGGTTAGTATACTTATTGATGATGGGCTACTCGAGTGCGCTCACCATCTGGGAATATAACGCTCAGTTTGAATAGACCGCCTTCCCACAGAGTCTTGTCTTTTCCAGGAATACCGCACTCCCAGTTCTTAAGGTCGAGTAAGCCTTGCGAATTGCGCTGGGGCTTTGCGTAGAAACCGAATGGATGGTCACGTCGCCACTGCTTTCTGAAGACAAATATTAGCTTTAATAGTGAATAGTATTGCTCTAAATCCCGTACCTCTCCTCTTGGAGGCGATTCTGACACAAAGCCATCTTGAAGGCTGAAGTTCACCTGAACAGAAGTTCCCGTTCTTAGGATTTCACCAAGCTTGCTTTGAAATGGGGCCTGCGCCTTGCAACCTGGAGTTCGTCGAAGGGGTATGGGCCCTTCTGTAGTTTACGTTGTTGCGTCAAGAGGTGTTAAATATGGTAGAGAAGTTGTGGCGAGAGTCGTGCGATTTGGAGATGTGAAGTGACAACGGGAAGTCAGCGGAAATTGGTCGCAGCCCCACGAAAGTTAAATCGGGTATGTGCAGCCTTGGTGTTAGCCCGGCGCATCAACAGCCGCGGCCTCTAATTTCGGGTTCTGGAAACTACTTCATGTCTAGATCCCCATAAACTGTTTGCCACTCATTACAGTTCACTTCAACGATCGCGCAGGCCAAGGCCAGCAACAATATCCTCTCCTACGAATTCGTTACTGTCGAACCCCGCTCTCACGAGCCAGACATCTAAATAAACCACGCTTCACAGGCCCGCTCTGAACATGGCGACAAAAGCGGGCAATATTGACGGCGACGTCAAGGCAACCCCAGATACCGTGGAAACCATAGTTAGAGACACGACTATAGAAACTACGCAAGATGCCAAAGAAGTTACCCCGCCAAAGGCTGTTGAGCCCGAATCTTTTGAGGATGCGCCAGATCCAGAGGAAGACGACCTCGACGACCTAGACGGTACCTACTCAGAAAGCCCAAGGCATTTTGATTTCCTGTAACTGACATATTTATTCTAGACATGCTCGACGAATTCTCCCCGACTAAGACCGAGTCTAAACCTGCAACCACCGAGGCCCCCAAACCAGAGAAATCCACAGCTGGGGCCGCCTCCGATGAGATGGCTGATCTTAATGGCATGTCGGAGGAAGACTTTGCAAAGCATTTACAAGCTGATATGGCCAATCTTTTGGGCGGCATGAATTCAAACGTAAGGACCGATATATGATTGTCAATGGCTTTCGCTAACTAGTACCAGCCAGAACTCGCAGCCCAGTTCAAGGAGATGATGAGCAAGATCGCTACGGAAGGTGGAGAAGGACCTGGTGATTTTGGGGCTCATCCTGACGCTGCTGGAGCTTACCAGCAGTCTGCGAAATCTGCGGCGCCTTCAACGGCGGAGGAATCTTTCCAAGACACTATTAGGAAGACCATGGAGAAGATCCAGGCCTCAGGGGAGCAAGCTACGGCAGCGTGCAAAGAAGAAGACACCGATGACATTCTAGCCGAGTTGATGAAGCAGATGCAATCTAGCGGCCTCGGCGGCGAGGGTGGCGAGGAAGACTTCTCGAAGATGCTACTGGGGATGATGGAGCAATTGACAAACAAGGATATCCTCTACGAACCCATGAAGGAACTACATGACAAGTTCCCTGCTTGGATGGAGAAGAACAAGGCAGCCACTAGCAAGGAAGACCTCAAGCGCTATGAAGAACAGCAGAAGGTTGTCGCGGAAATAGTTAAGAAGTTCGAAGAGCCGACATACACAGACGCCAGCCCGACCGACAGAGAATATATTGTGGGGCTGATGCAGTTGGTAAGTGGAGGCAGGATTTCCGCTTTTAACAACTTACTGACAAGCTATAGATGCAAGCCGCTGGCTCGCCCCCGTCGGATCTAGTAGGAGATATGGCTTCGGCACAGGAAGCATTTGGTGCACCACCAGACGAAGGTTGTCCTCAACAATGATATATATAGGAGAATCATCTAGTCACATAATAGTAAAGTCTTATTATCATCCTGTAGTAGTACTCGAAATTACAGAAACGCGAATATACTCCCCGGTGGATATCCTGCCGCGCCTGTCCCAACATGCTATGCCCCGAACGCCAATTACAGATATGCTTAACTCTTCCGATGTGTAAGCTAGACACACGTGCTGCTCTAGCTCATGTCCATCATATCCTGGTCCGCCTCTCGTCCACTTTGTACGGGAGGTGAGGCTGGGTTACCACCCGTTTCATCAAAGCCGATCTCCATGAACAACTGGTCGTACTCGTCGTCGTCGCTACCGTATGGTGTATTATTGTCATCGTGCTGGTTCCTTTGATTCGGAGGTGGATCCCACGACTCCGCGTCAAGCATCGATAACATAGCCTCCATCTCGGCGTCTTCCTGTTGTGCAACCTCATCGACCATTTCTTCATCTTGAGAGGGATTGACTTTTCCAATCTCCGTCGATTGGCCCTCGTCCAAGTCCTCCTCATCAATGCCAGCCCAGGCTTGAGCATCTCTTGCTCGTTTCTCTTCTCGTCGCTTCTGCTCCGCAATCCAGATAGTGCGCATAATCTATAGCAACAAGGTTAGTATTCAATTTGCCAAACATATACCCTCCAAGAATGTTCGTACCTCATCATCGCCACCCCTCTTCTCCCATCTCTTATCTTCGTTGTCCTGCCTCACGCGTCGTAAGAACAACTTCCGTCGTGTTTCCCGCCCATTGTCATTGTCGTTCCTGTGAATCAAGGGGTTCTTCTTTGTCTGTCGCGCAGAATATGCACCCTCGCTACTTCGCTCCGTCTGGTTCGTCTGTGGCGGCGTTAGGCTTGCCATGTCGAAGCTGAAGATGTCATCGCGATTGGGTGATGCGCGTAAAGGCGAGGATGAAAGCGGCGATGGTGTTACTGGTGCATAGTGTGATGACTGGAATGCGTGGTGGGAAGAAGGAGGGAGTGTGGAGAACATCTTGGGTGTGATATGTTCTTGGTGATGGATGTGATGGGATGGAGCGTTGATAACGCGGTCATGATTGTACCATAAGTAGACGCGTTCCTGGGTAAAGTGTTACAAACTACTAAACCAGTCACGTGATATCCATTGTCAGCCACAAAACTGCCTGAAGCTAGTATTACTTGCTTTAACTTGTAGCCAAGTTCTAGACTCATAATTTGGGGATTTTAGACTCCGAGATAACTAGAAGAAGAGAAATAGAACCAGCTCGGACTGAGAAAGATTGCTGAAGCACAATCTAGTGCTGTAAAAGCTGCCATGGATTGGGGTTCAAATATATTCATGCATGTGTAAGACATGGCTCTCCCAAGCTCACTGACGTATTACGGATGCTTCGGAGTCACTGAGTTTTGACAAGTTTTGAAAACAATTGCATTGAGTAGTCAGAGTCTGTCCAGCTTTTTATAGTTTGCCATTCCCACCATGGAGAATTGAGGATGCTTTGAGCATTCCATCCGACTCCAACCAAGCTTCAGCACTAGTTCTTTCGTCTTGTTCCAAGCGGTAGGATCTGGAGCACAATCGCAAAAACGCTTCATTCACAAATCCAACAGTCGTGCCAGGAGTTATAGCTGCGCCATATAAATATCCTTCGCTTTCGAATTTGCAGGCCGAAGTATTCACAGTGCATTCAGGAAAATCACTTGTAGAACTTGGAACCAATATGTCATGTAAGCGTTCTCATTCTATAGAGGCCGCCCGTCCAGCCAGATATTGCACCGTGAAAACCGTGGCCATGCAAGGTAAGTACAGACAGAGACTCCCGGAAACCGCTTAGTCGAAAAGACCGAAGCCCATATCCTCGTCGGACTCCTCCTTCTCTGTAAATTCATTAGCTCAGTTCGGAAACGAGTGGTAACTTGGGATCTCGTACCCTCTTCCTTCTCCTCAGCTGGGGCATCCTCAGATGCAGCAGCGGCACCGCCAGCGGCAGCACCGCCAGCAGCGGGTGCGCCACCGCCCGAACCGACGTTCAGGAGCAGGTCCTTAACATCTTTTCCCTCAAGGGCCTAGTCGGTCATGTCAGTTCATACTGCTCCTCCTCATACGTGTATAGATTGTGGTGTGCGCACCTTGGCGAACAGAGAGGTCCAGATTGGCTCGACATCGGCAACCTTTGCGGCGGTGATCAGAGTTTGAAGCTTCTCGGCCTTTACAATCTGTTAGTGGTTGTCCTTTTCCCATTTTGCGCTTCATTTCGCGTCCAAGCAGGGTCGGTGGGGTCATACAGTGATATCGACACCATCATCGGCGAGGATCAAAGCGGCGTAGGAGGTTGCGAGCTCGGCGTTCGACATTGTGAAGATCTGCGACTGCTGGAATTAGAATATATCTCAGAGATAAAACCGAATAAGTCGTGGCACTCACTGACAGAATGTTATTTTGTCGATGTACTGATGCGAGTGACAGGTTTATCTTGCGTTTCGCTTCAAGATCTGAAATCTGTGCGGCGAATGCCCTAATCGGAGATCCACATCTACAAGGTGACTGTGATTGGCTACAATGCCGAGTGCTTGGGACCATTGTGCGCTTGGCCGATTTCGATATAGCGCGATATTTGACTATTCCCCGCTCACCCCATGTCACTCTGGACATGCTGCAACACTGAATACATCAGCTCGACAATAAATCTGATTTACAAATCCCATACTCACATACCGATACTACTCCTGCATCCCACGGTCATCCATGCACCATCAACATGGCTGACACTCCGGTAATGAACATACCGACGGACCCAAGAGAACAGCTAATTCTGGATGAATTAATGTTGATACGAGCCGATTTGGACCTATTGAAGAGAGACCGAACTACATATATCAAGTCTTCGACAGTTGTTCCTCTATATGATAAGATTGTGGAGCAAGTACAAAAATTGAATGCCGTCCGAGAAGACCGGCCTCATGAGCAGAACAGAGGTTTTGGCGTTGCATTCCGTCATAAGTGCCCCAAAGCAGTACTGACTGTATTTCTTAGTCGACCGTGTACTAGATGGCTGCTTCCAACTATTATCCTTATTCTTTATGACTATTGGGAAAAACAACGAGGCACCGGCAGCATACGCCTTGACGTCCACCATCAAGAGGCTGCTTGATCACCTCACCGAAACCAAACTCTACTCCGCGAAAGACCTCGACCATGTGGCGCAAACTCTCGAATCACTCGATAATATAATCCAGAATTCCGAGGGCGTCCATTCTGATCGCTTAGTTACTTTACTTGGAAACCGAACGTCGCTCTGTCGAGAAGCATGTAGCAGCCTCCAAGAGAGGCTCAAGCGCCTCGACCCGGGTTTGGCTGAGATACACCAAAAGTGTATTTCCATCCTGCGATGCATCTCGCTCGCCAACACAAAATCTAAGTTCTCGAACTCGGAAGTAAAGAAGTTTAAAGATCAGTTGGAAGAGATTAAGGCACAGCAGGTAGATGGGCATTTCGTGATTACACCAAACGAGATTCCGGCAGGAGACGCCGAGATCAATGAACTCCTCACGCGGATTTTAGAATGGGCGGACGTGGTTATGGAACATAAGGGCGTGATACCCGAGAACTTCAAGCCGACCTACGACATTTTAGTCAATATCCGTAACGAACTGGAGAAGCTCTCTCTGACCCAAGCATGGTCATTGCGAGAAACCGATCTCTATGACTACCAACGCCAACTAGATCGGATTGATGAAGCACGAGTCAATGGAAACTTCCTTGATAGTGGAGGCAAACCAGCAGAATTATATGTGCAGCGAACATTACTGTACCTGATCCGCAGGAGTTATGGTTACATATATTACCTAATGGTGTCTTCGGAGCCGGTCTCAGAAGCTCTCCAACCTATATACAATCAACTCCAAACACTTAGGCGATGTTTGGTTGAGGTTAGGGAAATGGGAGGTGTGAGCTCGCCCCGAGAGCTGTATCCCTACAGTATGAAGGTAAACCTACCCACTTCAGCTTCTTATCGATCATCTGCTGACTATATCTAGTTAAACTCCATTGATAACATGAAGGTTGATGGCAAATTCACGATCAACGGAGATATCCCAGAGGGCCAAGCCAGTGTCAACGAACTTCTAGCTGAATGCTTTGATATTGCGTATGAATTGCGGATTGCTGCAGAGTCTGAGGAAAGCGGATGAGATGTGACACCCTGGGGGTACGGGTTTTTTTTTTTTGGGGGTTTTAAAGGCTATTTAGATGGATGGGGATTGTATCAAATAGTCGGTGGAGGGTTTGGAAGCAAGCCCATATATGTATTGCCAGGCGTACTCGATAGTTGCGACCCTATAATTTAATTCTCAAATTCACATAAGTTACTTATGTTCTTAAAATGCACGTGTAATGAGCTCTAGGCCCTGCTATTCGACGAAATGTTCTCTTGTATTCGCGTAATATTTGTAAATGCTGCCTTTTGAACGTAGCGACGCCTCTATAATTGTTTTTTTTTTCCCATAAATGACGTTCGTTCATCGTTGTGCTGTAATGGTTTATGGGTTGGGGTGGTCCATGGAGAGTCAGCCCGAGGTTGGTTCCCTCGATAGCAACAACTAGCGAGTGCTAGCAACGGACGACCGTCAAGCTTGAATGACCTTGGGACTTCAACCTAACAAAAACCCTCCCACCAACATCGTTGTCCTCCATCTACGACACTTCACAGTTCTTCTCTGTCTTACGCCTTCGGCCCCTACGTGTTTCATAGTCGGGGACTCTGGTATTCCCTCCAAGCTTCTGAAATAGTTACGATCGGTCCAGCGATCATGAACATTTTGCTGCAGCAACATCCGACTTTCTTTCCCCATCACCACAACTCCCCGAGACGATCTCCGTCAATATCACGTATGTATCCGTCCTCTTTGAATATATTCCGACACTGCATCAGTAGCTAACGACCGTCATCGACTTGTAGCCACCCACCTCTCTCCCAGAATGTCCGCCCGCAAGCGAAAAGCCGACGATGACCTAGATCCTCGATCTCTCGACGAAGACATGTCTGTCTCTCCTCTTACGTCTCCCGCAATATCATCCCGCCACATCGCTCGCCCATCGAAGAAGATCAGAAACAACGAAGTCATAGGCCGACCGCTCGAACTGCCTCGCCTCCTCGAAACCCTCGATGCGGACTCGCTGAGGAACGTCCTGCAAACAATATGCGAACGCCACCCTGAAATCGGACAGGAAGTCGTTACATCAGCACCACGCCCATCTGTTGCATCTACTATTGGCGTCCTCGAGCAGTACCAGGAGCGTTTACGACAAGCCTTTCCGTTCGGTGGCAATACTGGAAGCGATTACGCATATAATCGCGTTCGAATCCAACTTACCCAACTGATTGACGCTATCAGCGATTTCGTCCCTCACTACCTTCCTCCACATGAAACACAAGTCACCACGTCTCTGGACTTTCTCGACAGCGTCACTAACATAGTCCACCAACTACCCGACTGGGAAAGCTCGAGCCACAACCACCACAAAGATAATGCATACGACGAGATATCACGGGCCTGGGCACGGGTCATAAGCGAAGCAAGCAAGCGTGGAGGAGGGATCCAACTACATAACGGAGGGTGGGATCAGAAACTTCAGAAACACAATGCCATGAGTGGCGGGCAGATGCAGGCAGCTGTCAACGCACTAGGCTCAAATTTGTACTGTGGCGGAGCGAACGGATCCTCGAACACGAACATGAACTCAAGCAATGATCCGAATTCGATCCGGAACCAGCTCTTCTCAGGCACATATGGCACCAACCTTCCAGTGCGTGTGGGACCTTGGTAAACCAATAAACTGGCACGCGGCACATCTCACCAGAGACTAAGGTAGACACGGCATGAGGATAATCCGGTTTATATACCTACAATACGGGGTGAAGGGAAATAGGGAGGAGCAACGAGGCTCTTTGCATGCATATTTTGCGCCGCGACTTTGATTACGAGGTGGTGTTTTATTAATTTGATGCTGAGGCATCTCATGACGTTAACGTTACGAATTCATTTGAGAGAGAGAGCAACCGAGTGGGAATTTTTCTGCATTTTCAGGTACGGTGATTTGCTTTGCAGTACTTGGTCACGGGCGTTCAACTATCGTCATCGGCGTTTTCGCGGTTGTGGCTACGAGTATCACATGCGCTGGGTTGGGGTTGGTTGGCGCTATGATTGATGGGAGGGCAAGGGATGATACGCTACGGAGGAAGATCCCAGAGTTGGAGTTCGTCCCATATGGGCGACTCACCCTTTTATGTCGAGAATAGAAGACATATTACAGGAAGATGTGATGATGGTTTCTTGCGATGCGATCCTCCCGTGTGTGAGCCAGCCTATTATCATGTCAGAAACCCCATGACACCCACCAATTGTCTCACCGCCTTTTGCCACCCACGATGACATATGGGAAGCTATCTACGGATATGGACCACCTACCAATATAGATTTCATTGGTTTCAGAGAGCTATGGATATTTCACCCATCCATAGTGGCTCTAGGGTTAAAGAGTCGACAATATTGCATTATCGTGCGTTGTGCTGGGTCGTGTCACCTGCCGAGGTGGCAAGGCTGACGAGACGAGGCTGACACGGTCGAAAACAGGAGAGGTCGATATTGGTCGTGTGTATATTTGGGCAGTACAGTCAGATGGGCTTGAGAATTGTTTTGGCTCAGGACAAAAAGAATGATGATGGAAGCTACACTCGGACTAGATAACAGAAAATAAAGAGACTCCTACAATATCTTGGACGTATACCATGGTAAACTGTTCATAATAGCACACGTTGCACAACACTTCGTCAACAAACAACCTTAAGTTAACTTAACTAACTTAATCCCACCACCGCTTTGTCATCCATCCCTCCCCCACCAAACGCTAAGCCCCCCACCTAAAACGCCGATAACCGCCAACTCACCCTCTGCCCATCCCACCACTCCCCCCCCGCAATGCCACCCGCGCGTCTTCCCCAACTAACTCTCAAGACGCTTCCCGGTCTCGCCAGCATCGGACCCCTCCGACCCTCGCTCCCGAAATCAAAAGCGCGTCAGCTGAGAGCTATGGCGTCCTTGGCGCCTGTGAAGTGTGATTGGCTGGTTATCGTGCCTGATCAGCCAAGGAAGCTGGAGGCGAGGATGGCGGTTAGGAGGTAGGTGTCTGTTTCCCGTGATTTTTGAGAGGATGGGAGGCTAATGGTGGGGGGAAGTGATCATTTGAAGAATGTTACGCCGAAGGTTGAGGAGGGGTTTTGGAAGGTGGGGGGTAAGTTGGTTTAGCTTTGTCTTTTTACCTCAATCGCGGTTTAAGTTTTGATACTAAAGAATCCATAGGCGCTACTCTCGATGAGCCGCCAAAAGAGGGAGAGCCATTGAAAATTAACGGATCCTGTTTCATCGCGCACGCAACAACGAAGGAAGAGGTGATGGTGGAGCTCAAGAACGATGTCTATGCGAAGGGAGAGGTTTGGGATTTTGAAAAGGTATGTAGCACCTGAGGAAACCAGGAGCTTGCTAACTTTGTAGATTCAAATTATGCCATTCAAGCCAGCTTTTATCAAGCCATTGAATTGAGATCCGAGATGGATGGAGGATGATAGAGGTCAAGGGCCAGGGCGGCAGGGATGAATTGTTGGTCCTATTAGACTCTAGGGTAGGAAATACCTTGAAACAGCTTAAAACTACTTCATGTGCTATTGATCTCTGAATATTGCGGAAGAATTGTAGTTTTAACTTTAAAATTTCGGAATAAATGATTCCACTTTATACCAACATCCTATAAACTACATATACGGCGCATACCGCTCCAAGAGCCAAAAACACATCTAATGCCCCTTTTTTATTTCAAAATCCCTCTAAGCAGACTTCTCCGCGGCAGCCTTAGCCAAAAGGTTCAACGCACTGCCAGCGATAACGAAGCTAGCCTGATCAGGGCTGAAAGTATGCTTCGTCTCAATCACAAACTCCTTTCCACTGGGCTTGGTAACCTTCAGGCTCACCTCACCCTGACCCCCATTATTCAACATCTCGTACAACCCCACGGTCTCAACCTCGTCACATGCATCAATCGCATCGTAGTCCGCCTCGTTCGCAAACGTCAACGGCACAACACCCTGCTTCTTCAGGTTGGTCTCATGGATACGCGCGAAGCTCTTGGAGAGGATGACACGGCCACCAAGGTAACGCGGCTGCAGAGCAGCGTGCTCACGTGCGGAACCCTCGCCGTAGTTGCTCTCAGCAACAACGAGCCACTCAACGCCCTGGCTCCTCCACCTCTCACCAAGCTCTGGGATACCGCTGGTGGAGCCGTCGACATCGTAAGCGACGTTGACCTCGCCGGTCGCCTTGTTGACGGCGGTGATGAGGGTGTTGGCGGAGATGTTGGGGAGATGGCCCTTGTATTTCAGCCACGGGCCGGCCGCGGAGATCGTGTCGGTGGTGCACTTGCCGGTGACCTTGTAGAGGACGCGGAGGCCCTTCAGGTTACCCTCGGGGAACGGTGCGAAGGGCTCGAGCAGGGCAAGGCGGTCGGATGTGGGGGATACGACGACGGGGGTCTCGGGGCTGGGAGCACCGGTAATAGGCTGGAAGTCGGGGTTTCCGGTCTCGAAGCCAGACTGTGGGAGCTCGGAGCCGAAGGGAGCCGAGAACCTGAATTCGGCGCCAGAGGGGGTGGTGATGGAGTCGGTGAGGGGGTTGAAGGATGTGGATCCGCCGTAAGCCATCGCGGTGACAATCTCGGGGGATGCGAGGAAATTCATGGTATCCGGGTTTCCATCGTTGCGGCCGCGGAAATTGCGGTTGTAGGAGGTGAATATGGCATTCTGCTCGCCCTTAGTGGGGAGTGGAACTTCCTCAGTTGCGGTACGCTTCCACTGTCCGATACAGGGTCCGCATGCATTGGCAAGAACAACACCCCCGGATTCCTCGAAGGTGGAGAGGGTGGAGTCACGCTCGAGAGTGGCGCGAATCTGCTCAGTCCCAGGAGTTATGAAAAACGGAACGCTTGGGGTGAGACCAGCTGCGGCGGCCTGCTTGACGAGATCCTCAGCGCGGGTCATGTCTTCATATGAAGAGTTTGTGCACGACCCAATGAGGCCTGCCGAGACCTTCTTGGGCCAGCCATTGGCTTCGGAGGTGGCAGCGAATTGCGAAATAGGCGTTGAAAGATCAGGTGTGAAGGGACCATTCACATATGGCTCCAGTTCGGAAAGGTTGATTGTAATAACTTGGTCGTAGTTAGCATTCTCATCAGGGGACAGCAGGTTGCGAGCTGATGGGAACGAGGCGATCATCCTTGCTTGACGGGCAATAGAAGCTCGGTGCGTCGACTCGAGATATGGCACCATTCGCTGGGAGAATGGGAAGAGGGAAGTTGTCGCTCCAACCTCGGCACCCATGTTGCAGATGGTAGCCATGCCTGTGCAGCTTAGCGTATCAACGCCAGGGCCGTGGTATTCGATGATGAATCCAGTTCCACCCCTGACAGTAAGTTTGCCAGCCAGATGCATGATGACGTCCTTTGGCGATGCCCAGCCACTGAGTTGGCCTTCCAGGCGCACACCGAGAACCTTTGGTGCCTTCAACTCCCAAGGCGCATCAACAAGAGCATCCACGGCGTCGGCACCACCCACACCAATTGCGATTGCTCCAAGTCCACCACCGTTTGGTGTGTGGCTATCCGTTCCAAGCATCATCAGGCCAGGGGCCGCATAGTTTTCCAACACAGTCTGGTGAATGATACCAGCTCCCGGTGGCCAGAACTCAATACCGTACTTCTTCGACGCCGACTCTAAAAAGTCAAAGACCTCCTTATTGCCCTTGATGGACTCTGGCAGATCAACATCCGCACCCCTCTGACCCACAATCATATGGTCGCAGTGAATACTGGCTGGCACGGCAGTGGAAGGCAGTTTGCACGTCATGAATTGAAGAAGTGCCATCTGAGCAGATGCATCCTGCATAGCGACTCTGTCAGGCTTCAGCTTAAGGTTGGCATTGCCACGAATATTCAAGCCATTGTCGGTTCCTGTAAGGAGGGACTCCTCCGGGTTGTCGAGATGGGAGTACAGGATCTTCTCCGACAGTGTGAGGGCGCGCTCAGCTCCAAGCACACGGCGCACCTCAGCCAGCCTCTTCAGAAGCTTGGGGTATGGCGGTGTTCGCGATGAAACATCAAGTTCTTGGGAGGTCGCATTGTTGACAGACGCAAAGCCGCGGGTTCGGGACAATCGTGAGGGACAGGACACCTGGGCATTGGTTAGGTTAAAAGTTATACCGGCAATTACGGAGGAGATATTTGGCTTACCTGCAGGGCAGACCTGCTGCTCTGCAATAGCCGGCCAGAGGTCATGGTGGTGATATGAATTCTGTGGAGGAATGTATGGCGAAACAGCTTGAACGCAGCTGCGGTCTCGGCGTTCCTATAACTTTTTCCGGGGCAACAGGGGACGATCCTGACACTGGTTTAAGCTTTTTTATGGTCAAGGCCTTTGTTGCGACGCTGATTGGTTGCAGAATGTTGCCTTACCCCGTGCACGGACCGCCTAAATTTGAGGTACGTGTAGAGTGTACCTTCTGATGAAGCTCTCACGAAATCAAATTCACCTACCATCACGGAGATTACATTCACAACGTGTAGTCACTGAACTTCCAAATCCAAGGTATGTTTGCCAGAGTTCATTTTTATCTGCTTCCGGTTGCTTCCCATGTAACTTCAGAGCATGCATTTGCCCAGATCGGTCTTGGCAGCGAAGCTGTCGTTCTTGCCTTGTTCTCATATCCTGTGTTTACCTCTCTCTGGGCTTCACAACGATGAGTATCAACGCAATGGGAAGTAGCCTCCAAAACTCTTGTAGCTATGAGGTCTCATTGTGCTTCTTGCAGCCTGATGGAGTGGAATTACTTCAGTTTTCATTCATCATCAATATTTTTGTTTTCTGTGTATTTACCAGCACCCTCTGCGAACGTAGAGGCATCAGTTGACGTGCAGGACCAGAGATACCAACTACCTTCGACTTTGCAACTAAACACAGAACTCAGAGCCTGTATACCGTGTAGGAGGCGATAAGGTCTGGAAGTATTCCAGGAACCTAGGACAAATCTCGACATCATGGAGAATGCACTTGAGCCACCGGGAGGCTCCAAATATGGCGATAACCCACCCCAGTTTCTCTTGGACGCAATGATGGTATTATCTAGTGACTCTCCAAGCTCACCACGAAGATAACATGCATTTTGTTTGTCATACACATGCTAATATTCTCCTAATCTAGGAAGAACTTGGTATTGGCAGAATAAATGACCTTTCCTTGGAAGACAACCCAAAGGATAGAAGAAATGTCAACACAGCTGTCAGAGCTTCCCTGGCGAAACCCCCCACAAAGGAGATTAAGAAGATTACCAGCAAATATGGGAATGAGATCAACATGTGGAAATGTGAGGTCATTTTCAGACTACACACCAAATCTAGCAACTGACAAGATCGAACAGCTTTCAAACCCGATGATGTGGATCAAGGTGCTCTCTTGTTGGATGACTTGGGAAGCGGCCAGTCACATCGTCTCCGTATGCAAGCAAGTCTTGCTGGATATTCCAACCGAGCTGGAGGCGATTCAAGAGGTGCCCGGGGTGGTCATAATGGTGGTAGTCACACCAGTGGTAGTTCAAGGGGTGGTGGGCTTACTGGACAGAGGTGAGTCTTTGTTTGACAACATCACCTTTGATCTGCTAACTTTGAATACAGCAACAGAAGGAACAGAGCTCCCATTGAGGAAATTGCCAACCTACTCCGATACTCGGATCCGTCGTCAGTTCTCCGTGGAGGACGAGGTGGCGGAGGAGGCGGCAATAATGGCCGTGCTGGTACAACTAACGGCCATTTTGTTCATGGTTTGAACAATAGTCCACAAGCCAAGAACGTTTCTTCTGGACAAACGAAGCAACAGACAACCACACCGCAGAAGACCACACAAAGGAGACCCCCGCAACAGAGGCCTATACAACGCAATTCTTCTCCATTGTTGTCTTTGGCAACCCCAGAGTCCTTTTTCCCAAGTGCTAAAAGGGTTGAGAATACCCAACCTCAGCCAACCATCGGACAACCAACGAAGAGACAACCATCTACCAGACAACTGCCCCCTAAACCACCAACCACTAAACAACCAGCCAGTGGGCAAGCAACTGCCAGACAACCAGACATTAAACCACCCGCCACCAAATCACCAGTCGCTAAACCACCTGCCACGGGACAACCAACCACCGAACCAGTGGCTCCGATTTCGAAGCCCAACAAACCCCTTCACATTAATTCAACTCCCAAGGTGCCCAAGAGCATTGCGCCTGATAATACTAGGGTCATACCAAGCAAAGACAATGATGAGGACCTTATCTTCTGTGATCTTATCTCCTTAGATAATGACGGCTGGGTGTCCACAGCCACATCCACTGAAGTTATAGTGGAAGAGCCACCCTCAGGCTATATGCAAGACATGTGGACCCTGGAAGATAATGCAAATGCAGTCTTCAACATGATTGTAGAAGTCACGAGGAAAGGAATGGCCAAGGAGAGGGCAGATCTCGTGGAAACTATTGCCAGTGGTGTGGTCCCAGATGGTCGGGGCATGGCATCATCTGTGTATGCTTCGGATGAGCCTGTGACCAAAGAATCAATCAACACATACTGGAAGACCCAGGGCCCCTCGTTCCGAAAGGGCCTTGAAAATGAATCCATTCGCTTGATTCTCGAAGGCGCCGCTGCTGAGATAGTCAGACGAGATGCGCCCACTTCAAGTGATCTAGGCCAGCAGGATGTATCGGGAAGTGTCTCCGAATACGATCAATCTAATCCCGAGGAGGTTTTCACGCAAACTGAGCAGATTGGCAGCCCAGGCAGTGTAACCGGTGAGCCCCAAGGTGTTTCTGAACCCGCTGAGAATGTTTCTGGTAGTCTAGAGACTATGGGAGACTCGAAGAAGCCAGAAATCACTTTTGTACAATACGATGCCTCCGAGCTATTGCAGCTCAGAGGTAGAGCTTTGACAGTGGATAAGAGCGCTTTCCCCGGCGAGATCCGCCAGTTCGTTGTCAAGGATACCAATGATACCAATGTGTTGCTGCAAAAACCAAAGGTTATAAAGGTGCTCGGAGGACTGGTGGACTCAAAATGGGCTAGTCCTTCCGAGACGAACGATGAGAATGTTGCTCCCAGCACAACCAAGGCTGCCCCAATCAAAACTAATACTACCCCCGTCAAAACAAATGCTGCTACCGGCAAAGTCAATTTGGACCCCAGCAAAGCCAATTTTGTCCCCAGCAATACCACTCGGCCTTCTCCCATGGACAGCGGTGCATCCAACTTCTTTTCAGAGAAGCCCCTGCCTACCAAGGCTACGAACGGGCTGGCATCTTCAAAATGGGCGGATGAACCAAAAGCACCTGATACTTACACTCCCCTAGACCCCGTTTCAGCCATTTTGAGTGCCACAGTGCCCGTCCGTCCCAAGCGTCCTGGCCTGAGTGATTACATGTGGGCTGATAATCCTCCAAGCAAGGGGTCACTGACTCGCCCTTCGATCAACAAAGAGGTTATCGATAGGATGATAAACCCCCAACTGACCCATTCAAGTAGAGAGCATCGGAAGAAGTCAATCGAAATCATCACTGTGGCAACGAAGAGGAGGAGTGCTGTACTTGAGAAACAAGCGGCTGAAAAGGAAGCTGCACTTGCTAACTATCCCCACTACTAACTTTGACTGGTGGCGGGTTGAGGAGCTGACGTATGAGACTAAGAATAAAGAGAAGGGGCAGCAGCGATTAACATGTGCGGAGCGGTCAACACTTCCAGGGCTCAGCAAGTCTGGTGAAACTGGTTGAGGCAGCGAGAAACCAAAGAGATGGGCTGAAGATGAAGAGCTTAGACTATGACCCAATGAAGCTCATCCTCGCCAATAACTAGCTCTCGTCGGTCCATGTTGCATGCGAATGTACTTATGATGCAGTAATTCAGCCTTGAGTTATATTCCTATGAAACTCCAGCAAAAATAGCCATGGAAAGAGTGTCATTCAACTCAGGGGATTATAAGTCAGGACACGCTGGGACCAATATTCCGCCTTGTTAGCCTTAATTGGCTAACAATAAATATCAAATGAAAGGGTATAACGTAGTGTATGGCCTAATGCGCCATATGGCCTAATGCGACAGTAAATCCGACCGTGCTACATAATCAACCAACTCATTATCCGATGCTAACGATGGGTTGTACCTCTACATCCTCTTCCTCCTCAACTTCCTCAACAGGGCGCTTGCGTGGGCGCCCACGAGGTCGTTTTGCAACCGGCTTAGTCTCGACCTCTCGCGCAACATCTAACACATCTTGTGTACTATACACGAACGTGCCTTCCAATCTGACCCTTTTGCCTCTCATATGAGCCTTTCGTGCTTGGAGCAATTCTTCTTTCTCTTGTAGCTGCTTACGGAGAATAAGGAGCTCAGTATTCTGTGTTTCAGCCATGCGGGTGACCCGGTCCACATATCGCTTTACGATATCGCCGCTTTCGCCAAATGTCTCCATGCCCCAGCCTGCGCCTCTGGGTATCCCTGTCCTTTCCCAGCCCCGCCATCGCCATAACGCCATGTCCGTCGGGGTCCTTCATATTCTTCACGTTGGGTGAGATATAACTCACCCTCCACCACCGTAGGTACCATGTCTTTTGCATTGAATTACCCGAATACCTTTTGTAGTGGCAGATCATGGCGGTCTAGCCCAGCAGGATTGATCTTCCATGGTTGGTTTTGATGTTTGCTCCACGTCGAGTCCACATCCAGTCTACTGTATACTTCGCCGAATTGCCCCTTCCTGCCTCCTCTCGCAGCGATCTTGGCTTGGATGGATATATATGATGGATCTTCAGTACGCATGTCATAGAGTGTTGATGTCACAGACCCCTCGTCCGAATCGCGGTATTTCGAGAGCATATCATAGAAGCCTTGTGAGTTGGGCTCTGTGCCAAGAGATTTGTTGGAGCGCCTAGCTTGGACCGAATTCGGGTTCGGGGTCGGTTCGATCGAATAGGGACACGCTCCGATAAAAGGCACGGACTGCTGAAATTGCACAATCCCATAGTCCGTAAAGTCTCGGTCATCTGAAAGAATCTCCGGGGATTTTGTTGGCTGCGTCAAAGCAATATCGGCAGGAACGTTGACTCGAGCATGGATGAATGGTTTGTAGGCTGGTCACCTCTGCTCTTGTATTGTTCTCAGGACTCGGGTTTGTGCTATCCGTAGATACATTGTCTATAGAATGCTAGAAGGGGGCCCTCTAACAGAGAAAGGTTGTCATCTGATAGAAAAAAAAATTCCTCTGGTACATGAGGGCCCTCTGGCACAAGAAGCGAGCCTTCAGGCGCGCGGGAAGAACCGCCTCTTGTATAGGAGGGTTGACAGAGTTCTTGAGAGGTCCATTTTTCGGCTCTGGAGGGGGGATGCGGCCCTCTGAAAAACTCGGCTTCGAATGCAGAATCTGTATATCTTGCAAGGTCGACTCAAATGGTGGGTTGAATGGTGGCGGGGTAGCTAGCTCAGTGGCATAAATTCAAGTTGACTTGGCTGCGTCGGAATTAATAATGCTGCCCGATCTTGTTATCATGGGTTCCAGAGGCACAATTTCCGTTCTCCTGCCGTCTTTATCCCTCGAAACGTTCAAGTTTCCCATGTGTTCAGATGACATATGCAACCTCTGGTGGCCTATAGGCCCTCCATTGGACTTCTGGCTCGCAAAATCTAACTCAGTATTTCCTTCAGCAACGCCTCCAACCTTTTGCGACTTAGGATTTCGCCAGTTTCGATATCGTGCCACACTGTGTGAATCGTTGAGTTTTCGCTTCTTGCCTCCGTCATTAAGCCCCGCCGTAGGCGTCAGCGGTGAAAAGTTCCGACGTCTCATGGTATCACTACCGCTACCATTCATAGTACTGACGTCGGATCGCGGCGTCCAGAGGTTACTTTCGGACTTTTTCGGTTTCAACCTCCTCGCTTTCAACTTGGATGTTGCGTACTCCGCGGCTTGTTTGCAAGAGGTACACACTTTATTCGAACTGTCCTCCTGCAGGACTGGGTTTATTGCAAGTGCTAACAATGCACCTTCTTCCATATAGTGGCTTGTCGTCAGGATTAGCTGATGAACCCTTTCCGGTAGCCATCATTGTATACTCTGTCCGAGAGTTTGAATGAAAAGGTCCTGGTTGCATGTGGCAACAGAACCACGTCGGGATCCAATAACTGCCCAAGGAGGTACTAGAAGCAACATTAGCAGTGATTCTCCCAGGTAGCGTTGGAAAATAATTGCAATGGGTGCTATTTCAGGTCTTTTCAGTTATTATAGTCAGCATTCTGCGAGTTCAGCGGCTCCAACCCTTTTAACACCAAGGCAACGACCTCAGATCGTCGCTATAAACTTATGCTAGCCCAACGCCCGCCGTCCGTAGTTTGATAACACCCACTTTACACCATGCCTTTGGCTCTAAATCACTTGTTTGCAGATAGAGAGCTCCTGAATACAGTCATTTTGATGTATCCTCCAACTTCACTATGAATTCACTAACTTCTGTGAAACATAGTCTTGCCATTTGTTGAAGGACGCGCCTAGACAGCATAGATACGATGTTGCAACGGATCCTCAGCCTTGTGCACACCTGATGTTGGAGGAAGCCGAAACCAGAAGAACTCCTCGCAGTCTGACCTTTTACCAGGTTGGTCATCACCAATAGCGGTTAATGGAAAGATGATTGACACGATAAAACACTACACATACCGTATAATCTTGTGGCTTATCGTTTCCGCTCTGCCAAGTTGCAGGGCCAGTTAAAGGCTGGAAATAACCATCTGCTTTGGTGATCCCAACGTTAGTAATCACATCAATGTTCAGTCCGCTAGTAAGTGGCTATGGTCGACAAACACAGTATATTCTGTCATGAGGTGCCAGATGGCTACGAAATGTCGGACCTTCTTGACAAACGGGTTGGTGGTTGGTCGTTCGATGTTAGGGACAGTGATATTAGGTCTTTCAATATATCGCTATGCATGAAATAAAACAACTAAATCAGACGCTGTTATAATAAAAACAGAAAAAAAAAACAGACAAAAAAAACGTGAGCCTTTGGGCTCTCTGCAGCAAAAAAGTCAAGAGGGTTGTCGTTACAAAGGGGAAGCACAGCATGTGATGGGAGTGAAACATTACAATTAAGGTTGGCGCTAACTAAAATACTGCCATTACTATCCGCTGCTATTATGGGACTAGCTTGTTATGCCAGTGGTCCGAGAGGGGCTCCATAAGGCCGATTCCATGTGAAGAGGACACTGAACACAGAATATTGTCGAGCGCAGACAACATACAGTAGCTACAGTAGTCAATGGATTTCTTAAAATCCGCTGTCGCCTCGGCGATTTCTGGGGGGCCTCCTTTTCCATACAGCTTTGGAGATCGTGTAGACGTCGACGACTCGATATGGACACTATATAACGGTACACGAAGAGTAAGTCAGCTCCAGGTCTTTGAGAGTTATATACTGACCACAATTTCAGGAAGAGGGCTCGAACTGCAGCATATTTTCTTTTGATGTGCCCGCAAACAAATCACTACTGCCTCTGGCAAGAAATGCCGTCAAGAAACTGCGGACACTTCGACACCCAGGCGTCATAAAAGTGCTTGACACAGTTGAGACCGAATCATACATATACGTTGCCACGGAGCGCTTGATACCATTGCGATGGCACATAAAGCGGAAGAGCATGAGTGAGGAGACTATAAAATGGGGACTTTTTAGTATAGCGCAAACCGTCAAGTTCATCAACGACGATGCCTCCTCGATACATGGGAGCCTCAAAGCCGCGTCCGTATATACCAGCGAGAGTGGAGAATGGAAACTGGGTGGTTTTGAGGTGCTGAGCAGTCTAAAAGATGACGAAGCAGTAATATACAGATATGGAAGCCTTGTGCCCGAATCGGCCCGGTACATGCCTCCTGAGCTGGCCAAATCAGGCTGGGAAACCATTAAAAAGAATCCAGCAACGGCCCTCGACGCATACAACTTCGGTATACTGTTAATTGAAACCTTCAAGGGTGATTTCCTTGGCTCCGACCAGGTCGGCCAAACGAAGGGCATCCCTTCGAACATGCAACCGAGCTACAAACGACTCGTAAATGCAAACCCAAAGTCTAGATCTAGTGTCGCGCATTTCTTAGATCAAGGTCGAAGGGATGGAGGATTTTTGGATACCCCTCTGATCAAACTGACTGAGGGAGTTGACAGCATTGGAATGAAATCCGAGAATGAGAGAGAAGTGTTTTTGAGGTACTTTTTCCCAGCTCTCCAATATCTGAGTCCCTCACTGACTTTCCAACAGCGATTTAGACCAACTGTCAGATGATTTCCCGGAAGAATACTTCAAGATGAAAATCCTCCCCGAGCTGTTAAAATCAGTGGAATTTGGTGGAGGTGGCCCGAAGGTCTTCAGCGTCGTCATGAAAATCGCCCAGAAGCTAACAGATGGGGATTTCGACGCCAAAGTAACTCCAGCCGTAGTGCGGCTTTTCCAGAGTCCCGATCGGGCTATTCGAGTCTGCCTTTTGGACAATCTACCTGTTATGATCGACCGCCTACCTCAAAAAATTGTTAACGACAAAATCTACCCGCAGATGGTATGGCTTCATGAGAATTTGAATGACCATTGTACTAATCGAGATAGGTTACTGGTTTCACCGATGTCGCCCCCCTTATTCGCGAGCAAACCGTCAAAGCTGTTCTCACTATAATAACTAAGTTATCTGACCGTACGATTAACTCAGATCTCCTCAAGCAGCTCGCTCGTACCTCCAACGATGAGCAACCTGGTATCCGCACCAACACAACAATCTGTCTCGGGAAGATTGCCCGCTCCCTCGGTGTGTCGACTCGCTCAAAAGTTCTCATCGCAGCTTTCACGCGGTCGCTACGGGATCCATTCGTGCATGCCCGAAACGCCGCTTTACAAGCACTAACGGCCACTGCCGATTGTTTCACCGATGAAGATATAGCGGGAAAGATTTTACCCGCTGTGTGCCCGCTATTACTAGATAAAGAGAAATTGGTGCGAGACCAGGCGAACAAGAGTGTAGATACTTACCTCAGACAAGTCCGCAAGGCAGCGAGTCAGATGCAAGACACCGTCCTCCCACCGCCAGCTTCGGACGCCGGCCGCTCGAACTCCAACTCCACTACCCCTCGCATGGGCACACCCCAACCCAGCGAAGCTGCGTCATGGACCGGCTGGGCAATTTCCTCATTCACGAATAAAATCTCCACAGCAGCGGGCGACATCGAGCCATCTTCTTCCTCCGCCAGTACCCTCGCCCTCCCCCCTCCAACACTAGAGACGAGAGCAGTAAGCGTTCCCGTTCGTGCCTCGGCCTCAGCATCCGCCCTCCACCGCCAAGCCATCACATCCCCTCCACCAACCTCAACCCGCACCTACACGTCCTTCGCCTCCGCCTCCAACGCCGCAGATTACTTCCAAGATGCGGGCGACGCGAGTGAGGACGACTTCGAGGCCTGGGGCGACATGGATGACGATGAGATGGCGTTCAAGGACGCTGTGGATGAGCAACCCAAGGCTCCTGCTAAGCCTACAGTTTCAGCAAAACCATTCGAGGATGACGGTGAGCCAGACTTTGCGGGCTGGCTAGCGGCGCAGGCGGGTAAGAAGACTGGCTCGAAGCCATTGCCGAAGGGGCTTGCGAAGCCGGGGAGTGCAGGCGCGAGGCCTAATGTGTTGGGCGCTGGGTCGAGGAAGGTGAGCGCGGCAGCGCCGGCGAAGCCTGTGGTGAAGAAGGTTATTGATACGAAGCCGGAAGAGGCGGGTGATGATGATGGATGGGGTGATCGGTGGTAGATATTGTGGGGATGAGTTTATATGGGCAGCTAGCGCATGTAGGATGCATTGCTTGGCGTTCCTGGATACCATTTTGTTTGGCCAAGTCATATAGATGTATAGAAGGCGCTGAATTTGAATATTTCACGCCACCCCCTTTTCCTAGAATGAGATTGACGGCCCAAGAGCAGTGAAGGTGTATACTAGTCTATAAACCAACAGGCAGCGTGGGAGGGCTATTACTATTGGCCTACTCAGTGTCACTACATAGGGCTACTGACATGGTAGAGATATTGGTCAATAACGCTCTTAATTCTATGGAGTCTTCGATAAGCGATTTGCTGCAACGTGCTTGCTCGATCATATAACTTCAATGTAAAACCAAGCTATAAAAAGCAGCCACCCATCTACCCAGGAACCAGCCAACCAGGCTTCCATACCAACCGTGGGCATATAGCCTCAAACTCCAAGCGCCTCGCATCGCCAGCGTTTACAACTGGACATCATTATTAAGCAACCTGACCTCGTCTCCAGGCTTGAAGGCTGGCATTCCAATGTACGGGCAGCCGTCACACCGGAAGGCATCTCCAAGACTGCAGCTTCCACACGACCCAACCGTGCCTTGAACGGTGAAGTCAAACTCCGCCAGGTCCGAGGAATCGAGCTTGAGCGCCTTGAGCTTATCGTCGGCAGAAGTGCGCCTCGCCGCGTCTTCAGCTAAGAGCTTCTCTGCTAGGCCGCATGAGCAGTCCTTGCATGCGCGACGGCGCTTGCCGACTCGTGGGACGCACTCCGGTGCTATAAGATGTTAGTAATCTGCAGTAGGAAGCAAAGGGGTGGGAGACATACGGATAACAACCATGCTGTTCAGGTCTTCCTCTGTCAGCAGGGTGTCCTCGTCAATTAGATCATCGTCGTCCTCATCCTCGCCTGTGATCTCCTCTCCAAAATCGTCGCTGAAGTCCACGAACCCCACACCATTTGGTTTGGCTTGGCTAGGAGTAATTTCCACACTCTTCCGCTTCAGTGTTACTATCGTCGCTGGAGGGCCTGCATCCGACACAGCGTCCTTCTTCTTGTTCCGTCCGAAGCGTAGCGGTACTGCTTCGCTAGCGCTGTAATCCGGCTTCATCATCCCCCCAGCGCTATTGGCCACCAACCCAGCAAGAATAGCTTCAGTATATTCGCCACTGGTCGTGGACTGTCCGAATGTGCCGTCCTGGGACTGCAGTTTTCCGCCCGCCTTAAGCGATTGCACAAGGCTGCTGTATACATCCCGGCTCAGCAACTTTCCGGACTCGCTGCGCGTTCCGTCGACGTCGGTGAGGATAATGATCAGGTCGTATGTTGCGAGGGGCAGTCTAGCGAGGCCCGCGGAGATGCGGTCGAGCATTTGGAGGTCGGTGACGGAGCGGTCGTGGACAGCGAGAACGCCGTGGAGCTTTTCCTCATGGCTGGCAATGGAAGGAGGCGCTATGAGGAGCGTGCGGGTAGTGGAGCCGACTGCCTTCTTGGTGGGCTGTGGTTGAGGCGTGAAATCGAAGTCTGGGGTGTTATCGATGGTAACGAATGAAGGCGCCATCGAGACGGAGAGTGGCAACCGCCAAAAATCAGTCTCTGGATCCCTATTCCTTATTCAAAAATGTGGCAATTATGAATTTGCAGAGCTGAGTATGCGCAAAACCACTAGTTGTTGGAGTAAAGAGTTGCAGAGTTGAGGAAGTGGGAGCTGTGGGGTTGGATTCTCTATTTCCCTTCCCAAATTTATTAATCGCGTTGCTCGGTCATCATTCCGCGATCGGGCTGGGTGGCGGCGATAAGCACCAATGTCACGTGAAATTATAAGATTCTTGTCAATTTGCTCCCTCTGATACGATGAAGTGTAAGCCTTGGCATTGAATGGCTCCTTCCACAAGCCAAGTTCTGATTCCTCCATATCTGTATTTGTAATCTACAACGATACCTCCCACGTCACAAAAATATACCGCTAGTTTTGGGAGCCACCTGCGTCCGAAACCTCTTCCCAACGAATTCTGTTATATCCAGTGGTGTCTCCAATGGTTGATCGACCTCAGCAGACCAGCTTTGCATCAACTCTAAGCAGCATAATGGCTCCTGCATCAACTCTAAGCAGCATAATGGCTCTCGCATAGCTTGGAGATACCAAAAGGTACCATTCTCATGTTGATTTCGCATCTGAATAGAAAAGCCATGGTCTTTGCCCAATCTTCGTCCTGCAGCACCTTTATGAAGCTTAAAAACTGGATTCTAAAGACATCTCTCTCTTCGGACGACCAGTCCCAGGGGTCTGGATTCGGTATCAACCAAGGAGGAGGGGCGCTGAGGAATTCCCGTGGCGCAGTGTAACAGAATTCCCAATCTATAAGCGCCTTGATCACGAAGGTTTTGGAGTCCACAAGTATGTTTCCAAACCGTATATCATCGAGAAATAGCTTGAATGGACCCTGACGGTCCACGGAGCCCACGATTTGTTTCGTAAGCGTTTTCATAGTTTGCAGACAACGGTATATGCTTCAGTGGTTGTGTAAGGTTCGGAATGATCTCTGCTCTGCCGGAGCTATAACTCTTGGAATCGGAATACTAGTCTTTTCTCTGACGAATTCCATGACAGCCACTTCCTGGTCAATCTTCTCCGCTCGATACATAACATCGCCTGGTATTGGGAAGCGAAGCAGCCAGTCAACATCATGACTTAGATTGAAGTGGAGCCTAAAGCAATGATTGAAAGCGCCTTAGAATCGTTCTATAACCTTGCATGGCTCTCCCTTGTGGAATCCCGAGACAAACCCTTCTACATCAGAATGCTTCGAAAGGCTGGCTGGAAAATATTGGCGTGCGATGCGTACTGTTAAAGTTAAAACAGAATCAACAGTCAGATGTACTTCAGGAGGGTATGGTTCCTGATAAGCAGATTAAACCAGCATACATGGGCGGCTACTGCCTAGGTGGACATGGATTCTTGTCTGGTCAAATCAAGTGGCGGCACAGCGCAGAGTAGGTGGGAGTGAGATGAGTGAAGCGTCACGCTCCAAAAGCTACACTCTGTTAGGCTAAGTGACAATAAGGCCCAGGAAGTTCTACAAGATGCTTCGTGAAGATGGCGAGGAGCTTCAGCTTTTTTGGAAACGGCTAGCGTCTTTGGTGGACCTCATACAGGAGTTTTAAGCGACGGACATGAATTGTTATACTCTATCATGGAAATATCATCATTCTGTACTATGGACCCCGTCAATGATTCACAAGATGTCAGGATCCAGTCTAGTTTTGAAGACATGGGGTCGATGGTCATTAACAATTCCGACATTAACAAATTGGCAGGAGAATCCGTGCTTTGCCACAACGATCTCACACCACGCAACCTAATACTTCAACCACGCCCCTCAGCAGATGGTAAATTCAACTACAAGTTGGCCGATATCATAGATTGGGAGGTGGCTGGATTCTACCCGCCCTCGTATGAGCTGGGCCTGCAAGATACATACTTTTGTGCCGGTCGACATGTGTCATTCTACCTGCTACTGTAAGAGCACATGAAAAAATTGTACCGCGATATTCATCACAGATTGCGCTTGTGCAAGCAAATGCGCTCATCTACGAGTCACAACAGAGAAAACTGTCAAATGGTACCCAACATTTCGTCTCACATCCGAAAGAGGGTTATGGAGAACTCAAAGCTGACTCGGGATAATGATCCTTTATGTCGGCTGGGCAAGAAGCTCACAGGATGGACCTCTTCCCGATTATGCTAGCGCTGCTTTCCACAAATTAGAAGATGACCTGGTCGAGGAAATGCTTCCAAGAAGGAAATTAAAGGCGGAATTAAATTCAACGGCACAGTCACAGTAATCGCGTAATGGTAGGTATAAAATTATGTAACGAAAGAAGGGACAAGCAATTTTCAGCGAAATCAGTACCCCATATGATAATGACGGAGTGTAAATATGTCTCTGTGAAATGCATAGTATAATACAGAAGCCCACTCAAAGGCGCTAAGTGACAACATCACACCCCGACCAATAATACATCTCCTCATGCCGATGTAGCCTGGATGATAACCTCGCTCGCTTTCTCGCTCACCATATAGATTGGTGCGGTGATGTAAAACCCTGGGATCTTGGGGAAGACGCTAGCATCAACGACCCTCAGCCCCTCGACGCCTCTGACCTTGAAATTCGAGTCCAGTACCGCCATTGGGTCATCATCAGCTCCAATAGGGCAAGTGCAGCTAGCGTGATGTCCCCATGCCTCCTCCTTGATGAATTCCTTCATCTCTGCCTCCGTGGTGACATTTGGGCCTGGCCAGACCTCCGTGAAACCACCGTCGAGGGGAATCAGATCCTTGAAGATCTTGCGCGAGAACTCCATCGCTTCGTAGACGGCCTGGAGATCCTTGTCAGCTGCGTCGTTGGCGGTCACACCCGTGTCGAAGGAGTTAAAGTTGATGTTGGGCATGTCGCGCGGGTCGGTAGAACGGAGAGTGACGGCGCCGGCGTTGTTCCTGCTGTGCGCCTTGAGCACAATCCAAGCCCAGTGATGAGCGTCGTGGAGGGAGTCATTCGAGTATCCAGGGAAGTAGCCCTTGAACTTGGCCGGTGCGCCAGAGATGAGGAGATCAGGTTCGTTCTCAGCGACGGACGACTTCTTGACGACGGCGATGGCAACACCATTGGTGCCGTAGGTTCCCTTAGTGATTGGGCCAATGCCGTTGGTCCACCTTGTTAGGCAAGGATCTGGCATAGTCTCCAAGAAGGTGCATTTCTTTGTGATGAAAAAATCAGTAGGGCTGTCGCCGATGACGGTGTTCTCGTAGCGATCTTGTAGGTTGGTGCCAACACCGGGAAGGTCGACAATGACCGGGATGTTGAAAGATTCGAGCTCGGTGGCTGGGCCGACACCACTGAGTTTGAGGAGCTGAGGGGTGTTGAAAGCTCCAGCTGCCAGAATAACCTCGCGTGTGGCATTCACGCTTCCAGAGCCAGTAACTGTAGCAGAACCAGATCGGGGATCGGCTCTGTAGAGGCTTTGACCATCGAGGAAATCTACGCCAACAGCTTTGGGGGTTGGTCCGTCTTGGGAGAAGCGAACCTTGGTGACGAGAGTCGTGAGCTTGATATCGAGATTGTACTTCCGAGAACCGTCCTTGTTGACAGCATTGGCTGTGTCTAGAACGAAGTTGCGAGGTCCATTTCGTTTCGAGTCAGCCATAGCGAGGGGTACCTGGTAGAGTCCGACCTTGCTAGACTGTCCTGGGGCATTGAGGTCGCGAAGCAAAACTTCAGAAAGACCGACAACAGTGTTGACCAAAAGTCCAAGTAGGCCCTTGCCCATTGCAGTGCCCGCAGCAATGATGAGTGAGAGGAGCTTTGGGTCTTCAATCACAAGCGACAGGTCTGTAAGAGCTGTCCCAAGCCACCCATCAAAGCCATGGCCAATGATGCTGCTGGGAAGGTAGCGATTCCTCTCTAGCTTCATGAAATACTTTCTCATCTTGTTTGGTCTCCAGGAATCATCTCCTGTAATGGCCGCAATATTTGTCCAGTCACTGTCATGTGGATAGATCGTGATCAAAGCATTGTGAGCTGAGCAACCACCAAGTGTTCCAGCTCTTGGGTACAGAATTCCCAGAGGGGTTGAGCCGGTTGGGGGGTGCAGCCCAACATACTGCTCGCCAGAAGTCGTTTGGTACACCATTTTCGAATCCTTCTGTTGTCGTGCCTCATCGGAATAATGGTTGACAAAATAATCCCATCGCATCGGTTCGTATTCCGTTGACTGCAGCTGGAGAGCAGGAATTTGGTACTGTAACGCACCGCCTTGGTCGTCTCCAGCATCTATCAAGAGAACTTTAAAGCCTGCAATGGCTAAGTTGGCAGCAACCGGACCGCCGCCGGGTCCCGATCCAACGACAACGTATTCATAATTTTCCAGCCATGTTGTGTTTGACTCTACCTGGCGTTTAGAATGCCCTTGATGAGGGTGGCTATGGACGGCACTGGGGCAGTTAGTTCCTGCTTCTTTTTTGAGTGTAAGATTTGAGGTATAACATACGCTGCGAGTACAGTGCTTGTAAAAGACAGAAACACGCTCAAAGGCAATAACGAGAGCATCTTGCATAAAAAAATAAAAGCCCTGATAAGAACAGCAAAATGAATGACTGGGCTTGAAGCTCAAAAGCAAAATTGCGTACAACGACCAGCCTCTAGTATTATTTATTTGAGAGGCACAGCTTACTCCGTCCCAACTCACACAATGAATGACACGTACTCTGCCAGCACATTCGCGGCTGTGCCATTTCAGTCCCCGTAAGTACTAACCATGAACCATGTCAGCGCGGACCCAGATGCCGCAGTCCTGGAAGCGGTTGGTTGGCCCCCGCTTGGCTCGACCTCCGCCAAGTGATAGATCCATAAAGTACAGACGGCCAATAAATAACACGGGCCATAAATTGCCCGTGTTATTTATTGGCCGTCTGTAAGTTTTCAAGCTGCTGTGGGCCCTAAGCTTTTTCCAGGGTTATATCGGTTCCATTGCGAGGTTCCTACCTACAGTACGGCGGCGACAAAAGTGCTCAAATTGCAGTAAACGAGTGTCTTTTTGTGTGGTGAAAAGCACAGACCCGTACGAATACTTTTGTCGCTGTACTGTATGAGCGTGGGCCGCACCGAGCCCTTGCCACGCCGTGTGCGGTAGGGATAGGAATTGCGGGGATTCTGACAATTGTGGCAAGACTTACCAAACCTTACGCTGGAGACGATCAAGGCGGTGCGTTACAGTACTACACCCACCCTTCTGCCAACTCAACCGTGGCTACAGCGATTCTGCTCGGTGGCAGCGACCGTATATAGCTCAACCTTTGTAAAAAGCTGTAAATGGGCTCTTATATGCCGTATTACCGTACACTACCTACGTAGTGATATAAAACAAGTGCTAGGGTGAACGGTAGAAGCCTGTAGAAGCCTGTGTTCTGATTGTAGGTGCTGTATTACTCCTATCCCCCCCCCCTGAATGATTGTCAGGTTCCACTATTCCCACTTTTAATACTGCCAAAATTAAGGGGGTCTTAGTGTAATTATGTATGTAGATGTAAATAGTATTGTAATACCTTCAAAATATTTAGTTCTATAGAATCAGCTATGGATATTATGAGCTTTTAAATCCACAGATGCCTACTACGCCTCGCTTTAAGGCTCCTGCAACTACTCAAGATGATAGAATTGCAATTCAAACAGCATTAAAATTTGGATTATCATATAAGAAAATTGCAGCTACTCTACACGTTACAGAGCGACAAATCAGATATGCAAAAGCAAATACACACTCGAAATCAGGCTGTAAACCTCTTATTTGAACACCACAGCACACAGAGTTAGAGAAATGGTTACAGAGCTCTCCGTCAAGAGCACGTTGGATTGCTATTCCAACTCTTGCCCCTGAAATTGGATTGAATAATGCAGGCCAGAAAGCGCTGAATGCAGCTCTTCAAAAAGAAAAGGTTTCTCATCTGATCCCTTTCATCATCGCCTTCGTCTCATCTTTGCACAGAAAGCCCTACGATGGAGTCCTGGTAGACTTATGCGACAATGTTTTTCTGATGGAGTTTGGGCAAATGGAGGAGCACATACACAATCATTGTTACAGCAAAAGCAGATGGAAGTGATAAATATGACAAGGATTTACTATAACATAAATATTCAAAGTGTTATGGCTAAGTGCTAGTGCTATGGCTAGCGCTTACGGCTGCAACCTCACGTGATGGATAACATTGGATATCATGGATATTATGTTATCCATGTTATCCACGGATATCCCTTTGGCACGACGCCACTATATAAGTAGATAGTATTTCCTTAGATAGGAGCTTCGTGCTCAACTCAATATAGTATTCTTTACAATACTGTAACGTGTTGTAATGGTGGGTGCACCAGATGTCAGAATCTAGCCACCCAAGGAAGGGATGATTTTACTAATTTAACACACTGTCTTAGAAAAAGAGCCAAAGGGTCGTAGCTTAGACTATTCCACAATGCAGCAATCAAGTGTATGATGTAGTGGAGTGGTTTAGACAAGTTGTACAAATGTTGAGTCTGAGAACTCAGGGATAAGTCAGAGGTTAGCACCTCACTGACTTTTCAGAAACAAGGAGTAACAAGATCAATGCTTGGAAGCTTGGAAAAGATGTGGAAGTATGTGATAGTCGATTTACTGTATTGTCTGCTTGCCCTTTCTTAAGGAAAGGGCAATCCTATTTATGCTAAAGGAGTGTAGTTCTCTCATTTTCCAAGACTTTCCATGACTAACCAGGCTTGGTAACTATAGTCGATGTAAGAGAATCCCATAGAACCATCTCCTAGGTTCGTAGCCTATAGGAAGTAAAAGGAGGTCCAAGGTCAGAGTACCCCTATAGACAAATTATGTCATAGACAAATTATTGTTACGGCTATAGTAACATGATGTCATGGTTACAGGGCCAGGGCCTAGTAACGTGACGTGTGAGTCACATAACATGACGTGTGAGTCACAGTGGGAAGCGGGGTAGGCTGCCATGTGACGGGGCTAATGGATAGTTGCAGAAACTAGTGGATATTGGATAGTTGAGCTATCCACGAACTATCCTGAATATCTAGCTATCCACCAACTATCCAGATTACCCATGAGGCACGACGCCACTATATAAGTAGATAGTATTTCCTTAGATAGGAGCTTCGTGCTCAACTCAATACAGTATTTGTTATATACTAGTAACGTGTTACTTGAAGCCTTTGTGTCTGATCCCCTGCCTCCTCTGATAAGTAAACCTTTACGCAAGAGAACCTCTGTGTCTTCTATCATTTAGAAGTCAGCGTTACACTTTGAGCACCACTTCTACGAGGCACTGGCTCATACACAAAGCAACATGTCTGTCGTCAGTTCGAAGGGGAAAACCCCCACCACGCCAACTTCGTCTCAGAGGTCTAAGCCTGAGAATGAAGAGATGCCCGATGCACCCACCGTCAACGAACTCAAGGAAACTCTACGCGTCAAGTTGCCCGACACTTACTCCGGCAACCGAAAGGAACTTGAGGTGTTTTTGCTACAGGTCGAACTGTACCAGCACTTCAATGACGAGAAGTTCCCCACCCAGGAGAGCTATGCCCTGTGGACTGCGTCCTACCTTAGGGGGGAAGCCCTGCGATGGATCGAACCATTCCTCAAGGACTATTTCAAATATGAAAGTACCAATGGAAGCATGACAACTACGCAGACTATGTTTGGCAGCTGGAATGGATTCTGTAAGGAAATCCGACGCATGTTCGGAGACATCGATGAGATTAAGACCGCAGAAGACCATCTGTTTGCACTTAAGCAGACTGGCAGCGCCCTCACATACTCCACAGAATTCCAGAGATACGGCAATCAGACAGGATGGGACGCCAGCGCACTCATCAGCCACTACCGACGTGGGCTGAAGAGCCATATACGTATGGAACTTGCCCGTTTGGAACAACAACCAACGGACATGGTAGCGCTAATCGAACATACGGTCCGAATCGACAATCGACTATACGAATTCCAGAAGGAACGTCGGACCTATGACAAGCCCAAGAAAAGTTACCCCTACCGGGGAAACGAGGGCAGACGACGGGATCAACACCCGCGAGACAACCGTTGGTCGGACCCAATGGAACTCGATGCCACGTTCAAACCTGGACGACCCCGTGACCCTAAGAAAGACAGACAATTCAAGGAACGACTCTGTTTTAACTGCGACAAGCCAGGCCACATGGCCCGAGACTGCAGACAGCCAAAGAAAGGGAACGGCGGACGCAAAGTTGGCAAACAACTCAATGCCACCTGGACAGGACAGTTGAACGCAACGTTTGTGAGCAAACAGGACTGGGGAATAAACGGCGAAAGCACCCCAGAAGACGAGAGCTCAGATGAAGGGTCGGAGGCGGAATCGTTCACCGTCTCGGAACAGGAGACCTTCGATGAACTCGCACCTACGGAACCAATGAGTCCACGGTGCAAGAACGTAGTAAGACGCATGGCAAAACACGCCCACGCGAAGATTAGGGCCGAACGAGACAAGCCCAATGGCCAGAGGAGAATCCCCATGCTTAAAGACCTCTACGGGAACCTGTTACAGGAACTTCCGTTAAAGTGCAAGGTGGACGACTGCAAGGATGACCTCTGGAGATACTACGACCAACTAACGAATACCCGCAGGCTGCTTGGCACGTCCCAAGACGTAGCTAAGTTGGAAGCCCAAGAAGCGGAAGAACTGGAGAAGGATGTCGAGCATATGGCTAAACTGAAGTATATGAAAAGCGTCAAACTTTACTACCAGGACCGCAGGAGAGCCCTGAAGAAGTACGACGAGAAAGCCAGAGATATGCTCCGACGGGAAAATGCGAGACCCACTCCACGCATCGAAAGGAGAGCCATGGAGCAACTAGACACATTCTCCACGCCTCCGAGGGAAGATAGTGCATGGGTGAGAGGACAGCGGGAACTATCAATGACAGACGCAACAGAGACTGATCATCCCTGGCACGCGTATGTCTACTGGGAGTATTGCAGCGAAGATGACTGCAAGCTCCACTGGAAAAAGAAACACCAGAATCAGTTGTTTCCCCGATCCTCGCCCAGGATACACTTCAGAGACGCAGAGCAAGTTCACGCCCTCAGGCGAAGCCAGTCTGAAGGGGACTTGCCTATCAAAAGCGAACAGGTATACGAGAAATACCCACATCTGCTAGACGAAGCAGAAGAGCGAGGGAAACGATCTCCCCAAGGACCACCATTGGAAGCGGATGAATACTATCCTTCCTCGGACGAGTCAAAAAACTAGGAGTCCTCGACGGTAGGCCACCGGCGAGCGACACGAAGAGGCCTAGTACAGACCAGCTATGCGCCACGACGGGCAGCATGCAACTATATGTGGTCGCTAAGATACAACAGCGACACCTCCGAGCAATGATTGACTCAGGAGCGACGGGCAACTTTATGACAAAGAAAGTAGCAGACACGCAAGGTTTCAAGACGCAATTGAAAACCGAACCATACCCGTTAATGGTCGTAGATGGAGAGCCCATCTCGACTAATGAAGGAATGGTGACCCACGAAA